ACAAATTATTCTTAAAAACTGAGGTAATCTATAGTCTTACAAAATCATAACATGAAGCTGCAAAAATTGATACTACAAGGCTGAAAAATAGTGTCAGAAATCATGTCATATGCAAAGGCTACAAACAAACTAGTGACGATTGGCCCCGAGTGAATACATCTACCAGTAGCAGATTAGCAGCAGCACATTATCCCTTTAAAAAAGGATCCAGACTGGATATGGACAACTATCACCCGATTAACCACACTTCCATCTTATCTAGAACTGTAGATATTATTAAGAAGGCAATTAACTATCATCTTATTATATATTGAAGGCCGCCGAGTAGAGGGCAGTGAGTTATTGACCGGATCAAGGAAGTGTAAAACACGTGCGGGCGGCCTAGAGTTCTGATTGACCCTGCTTTCCGCCTAGCCCAGCCACTTAAGTCCAGAATGCCAATCTCAGCCTCTGCAATATGAATCTTATATTTCAAACATACTGAGTTTATATACCAATCAAACAGATCACAACGTAGCATAAAGTAGAAAATAACATCTGTACAAAATTTGACGAAATGTGGCTGTGAAACAATGTTGGATCCTCACATACCCAAGTTAACATTAATTTGACTTTATTTAATATACATTTGTCGCAGTGAACAGAGAATCGACCGAAAATGACTAAGTGGTGAGGGTGAACGACGCTTGACATGAGGTCATCGAAGTATGATTCTTCGGAAATATGATCAAATTTATTGAGAACATTACTAATAGATAGTAGATCGCTATAATAATCAGCGTCCATCAAAACTGCATCAGGTTCTTGATTATTATTTGATACATATGACATATTTTCCGGCAAATCAAGGGAATCTCGATTAGATTCGTCAGGAACTTCTACCCACCAATTTATTATATCTTCGTAAAGTGCATTTATCTTCAAAACGTCATGCATAACCTGTCACTCAGAATACTTTGACTATATAATAAACAATAAGCATAAATAGAAACTAGTTATCACCCCCTACTTAGAATTTACTAGTGTTTGTTAAAGTACCCCAGGTATTTAAAACCTACAGACGTGGCACACGAGACGTTACTGACCAACAAACATGGTGGTGGGGAGAATCTTTTGCTTAGCGAGATTCTATGTCTAAAGTTAATGAATAATTGATATCTTCAGATGTCAAGCTAGTTGATGAGATACTGTCCGAACTTTTTAAATATATATCAAAATTGCTCTTGAAGGACTAATGAAAGGTCCCTTAAACCATCTCAGACGGTAAAGAATTCCAGGATTTCAATACTCCTGAGGAGTAGAAGATATGTTCACAGCCCAGATTCCTATGTTATGCCTCTAATTTCTGGGTAGTACGTCTAATATTTATGTTGAGATTCAGGTTAAGTAAGTATCTGGAGGGATTACTAAGAGGTCCTTCCAAGTGGGAAATACAAACTGACGTGAAAAAGCACGAAAACAAGAAATTACAAAAATGAGACCCCTACCAAGTGATTTCTGCGAATCTGGCATCCCTAAGACGTCGACGAAGACAAAGTGATTTGAGGCGCTCTTCATAACGTTTTGAGTTTGGTCCTCGAAATGAATACATGGCTCACCTTTAGAGACAGCGTTACTCGAACAACAAGAATTTGTCTATGAATTTGTGTCATTATTATTACTACCATGTTTGTATGAATACGTATGCTTGATCACATGTGTTAGCCTACACACATATCCCAAACTCCGGCTTAAATGTTAGTTAAACCATGTCAAGTGCGAAACAGTTACTCGCCGAAAACAATGGGGATGGTCACACAATGTTGTGGATTGGTCTGAGTCAGAAATTAGCACTGTTCGACGTCGGCTCAGAGTTTTAGAGGTTGAGCATCCGTACGCGAGGCTGAAGGCCACGAATTCAAGTCGCGCTGCTGACGGGTTCTAGACCAGGACGAAACGGCCGTACAGTGCTTCCAGGTTCTCAATAGTGGTCTACAATTGATCAGTTCTTGGTTTCTATCAAATATTAGTTGCCTAAAAACTTTCGATAAATCGATCGGTTTCCAATATATATGTGCTTGAATCTTACTAACTGATTCGACTCTCAATTCGCCTCTGCATTTACTTGTTCTCCTGTATTGCTTTCTCGTTCCAAGTTCACTTGTTATGCTTGTAGCCTCGTGGTCTGCGTTATTTAATAATAAACTTTAGTAGGCACATCGAGTTGTCTTCTGAATTGATACACCAGTGGTGTTTATTTAATTATGGTTATCATAGTGATTAGTACATGAAACCCAAGAAAGTTCCTCGAAGCCAAGCCATTTCAGGCCTCCCGGGATCCATGTTGTTAGTGTGGTATAAGTTCGTAGATAATAAGCAGTATTCTGTACATAAAAATAAGATCTCCCCTTAGTCTGCGATAGGACAGAGTTCTAGCTTTTCAAGCCGCTCTTTGTATGGTTAACCCTGGAGCTCTGGAATTGCACAGGTAGCTGTCCTCTGTACTTTTTTCAGGATATCCGAGTCACCTCTTAAACAGGGGCTTGCAGCCTGAACGCAGTTTTTAAAGCTTAGTTCTCACTAAGGTTGTGTATACTGTGGTGAACATAGTAGTATCTAACTTACTGAATATCTGTTTTAAAGCCTAGAGGGTTCTAAACCTCTTAGCTGCGACCCACCGGCATTGGGCCATCGTCTTGAGATCATGACCCACCGTCACCCCTAGATCCTGATGAGACCGGACCATGGGTGTTAACACTTCCCTGTGCTGTACTTATTAACCTTTGTATCCCCAAATTGCATGTAGACACACTTTGCCGCGTTGATAATCATCAGCCACTCTTTAGACCAGTTAATCATATTATTTAAGTGTGTCTAAAGAGCACATGCTTCTGCGTCTCCAGTTATTACTCGCCAGACTTTTACATCCTCAGCGTATAATAACATTGGAGACTGTACTATACTTGGAAGATCATTTACGTACAGTGTAAAAAGTAAAGGACCTAGGACAAAACCTTGAGGTACTCCACTAAGTACTGGTCTCCAGATGGAGCACTTAGAATTTATTCTTTCTTTCTGTCTACGACCTACTAGGAAATCCTTAAGATATTTTAAGAGAGGTCCGGCAATACCAGGGTTTTCTAACTTCGATAGTAGTTTATTATTTGGCACCTTGTCAAAAGCCTTACTCAAGTTTATGTAGAGTTTCCTTTGTTTAGTGCCTTTATCCAATCATCCCTTGCTATAAGGAGGTTCGCTGTACAAGATAAATCCTATCTAAAACCATGTTGTTCTCTGTTTAACAAGTCATTGGTTTCCATTAATATCATTATGGTCCGTTTAACTATTCTTTCCAATATTTTAACTACAACACTGGTGAGGCTTACAGGTCTGTAGTTCGATGGAATTGGTGTTGGTCCTGTTTTATGTATTGGATCGACGATTGCGTCCCTCCAGCACATAGGTAACATACCTTGGTCAAGTGACATATTGAGTATCACAGTTAGTGGAACCGCGATATATAGTGCAATATGTTTCAAGACTTTGAGGTGTAGTTCATCTTGTCCTATTGACTTTTCCATGTCTAAGGTGCTAAGAGCCTTAAGTACATCGTCTTGATCGAAGTTCACGGTAAGCAGGTGGTTTGTTGACTTTGTATTTTGGTCTGGTTCTTTGTCTAGAGGAGGTTCCTAAGTGGAAACTGCTCCAAAATAGTCAGCTTTGGCTTCTGGTTTTTCCTGATCTTCCTCTATCATTTCGGATTCACTCCATTCTTTAATTAGGTTGGGAATCCAATGATGCATCCTTGTTCTATAGTTTATTTACGAGAATATTCTCCTGAGCTGCTTGAGTGCAAATTTCGCCAACTGCATTTCATATGTTTTTTGAGCTTCTGAAGTTTTAGTTATACATGTGTTTCTTACCGATCGGTAGCGTTCCATCGTACCTACTATGCCAAGGCGGATATCAACATTCCAACATTTTTTTTCTTAGTAGACGTCAAATATCTCGGCCTATCTAGAGATAGCCGTGCTTCTTTCTCTTTGCGACTGTCCGGGGCAAGCGTGGTTGAGTTACCCGATTGTATAACTGCCTGAAATAAGCCCGTGCCTCTCGTACTGATGCCCATGAGTCAATTTCCCAGTTTTCAGCCGATGCTGCCTAGTTGATTCCCTCCATATCTGCCTTCTGTATATTAGGACGGGCCGGAGCAACTGTTTGAAAGGCAATTTCAGCCATGAATTTGAATAATATGACCACATGGTCTTTTCCCCCAAGTGGTGAGAGGAAAGTCGTTTGACCAACGTCATCACCGTGTATGAATACTAAATCTAAAATAGAAGATGAGCTTCCTAAGTCATGTGATCTCTAGCGTGTTGAGGTAAAGCTAACGCAATCGAGGTTTATAACAGTTTACAATCAAATCGATGACCGTACTTCTCAGTTAACCCAGTTTATGCACGGTGCATTAAAGTCGCCTACTACAAGTCTTTTGCCCTTGTTACACCAGGACTTAAGTCTACTGAGGAGAAAACCGTCTACCACACATTCTGGACTGCAATATACTACAACTAATTCAATATCTTGCCGTCTACATTTCAACTTGCATCACACGAGTTCACATGTCCATGAAACATGTGCCACTGTTTCAACTGCTCTTATGGTTAGGGTACTTTTCGTGTACGGGATAACCCCGCCTCCCCTACGGTTTAATCTATCAGCCCTACTGGGCGAAAAACCAGTCAACTGAATTTCATTATCTAATACTTCTGACGTTAACCAAGACAGCAATAACATCCGGTTTTTCTCTATTGACTTGAGCTCCGACATTTCATTTTATAGGTTAATACTTCTAGTACTTCTCTTCTGTTTGTTTCACAACTAGTGCTCTGCCTGAAGACATCGATGATCCATTTCTACTAGACAAGAAAGTTCGTTTAGCGGAGACTTCTGTCCGCAACCACTTGATTCATTGCAGTCTTGAAAGTGAAATCCACCTTTTCAAGGTTGTTCTTCGAATACGACGTTTTAAATTTATCCGTTGTTGTCGTTATAATCAGGTAGAATTGTACTTAATTCGCAAATATACGGAGGCTCACACCTTGATAGTGATGTTAAAAAACAAATATCTTTATCCGAAATCAAAAGGTGTTAATTTTACTTCTTTACACTAGGTAAAAAGACTACCTTTCAGATAATAATTAAATGATGAATGACATTTAAGCTCGTCGTGTAGTGTAGATCTTCAAAACCTCAAAATCTTAATTCCGAGTGTTTGCTAAAAGTGTTGGTTTCAGTTTGCTTGATCATTGATCTTTCAATGATAACAAGAGTCTAGTTCTTTTCACGAGCATAAAGTATACACTTGAGCGGCTTTAGTTCCGCTTTCCATATTCTAATTTGTGCTAATTGTTTTGATGATTAGAGCTTCTCATCCAATCCAACCTTTCGTCGGGTATGTTGGCATATGGAGTCTTAATTACTCACTAAGGAAATGTGTCCTCGGATATCCTCTGTTCTAGAGATAAAAAGGGTTAAACTAGATCCAGAATTATTACTAAGCAATTTTAGGGCTGCGGCTCAGTGACAAATTGTTCCTTTATACGACAAAAGAAACAGACTCAAGTCAACTGGTCTCTCGTTACACGATGGCTCCAAGACGCCAAGAATTAGGTTCGCTGGGGTTCGTTAAACCTTTTACAACAAACAAATGTCCTTTTCCAGATAGAGACCGGGAGCGCATGTTTAGTATCTGAGGTTTGGTCGAATAAAAACTTCGTAAAAACCCACAAATGTTTTAAGACATGCTTAAATTAAGAGTCTGTGTATTGATCGAAAGGTTATGAGGTAATTTGCTGGCATACAAGAGTAGCTTTTAGGTCTTGACTGACAATTGCTACTCAGTCATTGTGTGTTTAGACAACGTACAACCTAAGACAATTCATCGCTTATGTGTCTGTTTCTTGGTGACCATTTTGCATCATAACACACTTGTAAGCAATAATAGACGATTTTTAAGTAATGTAATTTCCAGATTCATGTGAGGTCCTAAAATTTTCATTTTGTTTCACATCGATCCTGGTATTTTTGTATCTTCGGCATTTAAAGAGACCGAGACTAGAAATGTAGTTTACACTCATTAGGAAAATCACTGCTCCCAAAACTGTGGTCTTCATCCCTTTACTACGTACTTTGCTGGCTGGTTAACTTAGACTTAACCACTGCCCCTATTCGGTATCCAGTTAACGCTTATTTAACTGGCTTAGTGTGAAATTCGGGGGCTCATCTAGTAGCCTTGAGTGAATTTCGTTAGGTTTCGCAGATTATTCTACAACAAGTTTATTTCGTTGTTCGAGTGTGTCAAGTGCTTTTATGATCAAGACATTTAGTTCTGCAGGTGAAAGCATGGAAAAACAAGCAGATTTGAGAAAATAAAGCGTTAAAAGTCATAGTGTGGTGTAATGTAGTGATGAGTTGTCTTGAAAATTCATGGTTTAGTCAAAAAGAAGCACCACAAAACTACATTCAACAAATTACATTGGGATCAGCGGTACCAGGATAATGTGTGTTGCCTGTGAAGCATTTAACTCGGTGCATGTTGACAGTCTTACTTTTACACTCGTTGGTGCTCACGTTGTTGGTCCCAAGCAATACAAGTTATATTTAAACAACACGTTGTAAATTTATAACCCTTTTCACTTATACTTTAGCCAATTTAATTGACAGCACAAAAGCTTAGGTAAAGGAAGATTTCTTTTTGCCAATTGCGTTTCTAAGACTCGTACAGCTACACTAAGAAATATGATGAAAAATTTTGATACGTTAGTCTTCACGGATGTAATGAGCAAAATTTATAGAGAGCAATTTATAATACTGGGAAAAGAAATTGTGAAAAGTAACCAAAGCGATTATTTCTGCTTTTAATTGTCACCCACAGACATTTCATCTCGTGATTTATTTCTGAGCTGCTATTTTACCATTATTAACATAATCATCATCGTCGCTACAATTATATTACAATTGATCTGTAACTACCATCAGTTTTTATTGCCATACTACATTACCGACAAAATCCACCTGTCGCTCTTCCAGGGGTTCTGCCGGTTCCAGGTCTGGGTAAAGGAGAAGAATTAGACATGGGGTTAAAATCGCCATCCCATAGAATAGAACTTCGCTGAAGTCACTAACCAGGATAAAAAACCAAACCATTTAAACTTTATCCTCCGAGTCAAAGGGAGAGTTATGACGCTTCATGATGAAATCCGAGATTGTTCGGTAGCTACAAGGTCAACAACCTTTCAAATAACCAGATCAACTATTAATGTAGGTACATGAAATGTTCATACAATAAGGAAGACCTAGCGAACCAATGGAATAGCGGCAGAAACGAGGTACTCGGAATAAACGAAACCCATTGGACCCAAGCTGGACAGAAAAAGATAGATTCGGAAAAAAATGCTGCTGTATTCCGGTTAAGAAGAGGAAAATACCTCACACACTCAGGGAAATGCTCCGATGCTGTCTAAAGAAGCACGCAAATCACTCATAGGATAGAAACCTTATGGACACAGGAAGATCAAAGCACCCTCCAAAACAAAGAAGGAGATCACAACGAAGGTTACCCAATGCTATACATTCACAAATGATAACAAAGATGACGATCAGTTTAATTAGATGCTGCATTCGATCATAGAGAAGTGCTTAGGAAAAGATCATCTTGACGGGAGACCTAAACGCCAAAGTCTGAATGGACAACATCTGGTGTGAAGATATCATGAAACTACATGGACTGACTGAGAGGAAGGAACGAGATTAGTAATGGATTTGCAAGTTTACGTGTTTTCAACAAAATTGTCATCGGTAGAAGTATTTTCGCCCACAAACGCACACACAAAGCCACATCGGTTTCACTGGCTCACAATGTAGAAAATCAGATCGGTCATATTTACACCAGTAAAAAATTCCTGAGGTCAATGGAAGACGTGAGGACCAGTGAAGGAGCCGACAGAGCTTTTGATGACCACCTGGTAGTTGTCAAGACGAAACCGAAGCTAAAGAAGCAATGGACAATTGAAGAAACTGCACTACAAACGCTAAATATAGCCTTCCTTCGACATACTCACAAACTCAATGAATTCAACATAACTTTCAACAACAGGCTGCGAGCCTTACAAGATCTACTAAAAGAAGAAGAAACTAGGATGGAGGATGACAAATGAAGAATGAGAAAGCAGCAGGACCCGACAACATACCAGTTGAAGCTCTGAACTTACACATTGAAGTAACTGCAAATATGTACCACGTTCTATTCAAGAAGATTTGGGAGAAGTGAGAAGTACCAACAGACTGGAAAGAAGGATATCTCATCAAGATACTAAAGAAAAAAAATCGGAGCGAATTTGAAAACTACAGATGCATCACTCCACTGTTAGTACCAGGAAAGATTTTCAACGAAGTCGTGCTGAACCGGATGAAAGATTCAGTAAACGCACAGCTTCGAGAGTGACATACTGGATTTTGTAAGGATTGGTCGTGTACAGACCAAATTGCGACACTATTGTTGATTAATCAGTTGAGTGGAACTCGTCAATATACATCAACTTCGTTTACTACGAGAAGGATTTCAACAGTGTGGATGGGAGGACTTTATAATACATTCTTTGACACCATGGTGTATTTGAGAAAATCGTCAACACCACCCGAAATTCGTACGTCAGACTACACTGCAAAGTTGTGAATGAAGGACAGCTGACAGATCCATTCTAAGTGAGAACAGAAGTCAAACAAAGCTGCTTACTATCTTTCTTTCCCTTTCTTCTAGTGGTTGACCGGATTATAAAGACATCCCACACACACGAACAAATGCAGATGAAAGCAGCCAGTGTATAAGAAGCATCTTCAGCGGTAGGACTCCACATACACAAGGGAAAAAGCAAGATCCTAAAATATAACACTGAGAACACCAACCCAATCACACTTGATGGAAAAACGCTGAAAGAGGTGGAAACTTTTGCGTACTCGGGCATCATCATCAAAGAACAAGGAGGATCTGATGCAGACGTAAAGGCGAGGACTGGCAAGGCAAGGACAACACTTCTATAATTGATGAACATATGGAACTCAGAGCAACTGTTAACCAATATCAAAGTCACAACCTTTAATACGAACGTCAAGACAGTTCTACTCTACGGAGTTAAAACTTCAGGAGCTACTACAACCATCATCAAAAAGGTTCAAGTATTTATAAACAGCTGTCTAAACAAGATGCTCAATGTCCGTTGGCTGGAAAACATTAGCAACAGACTTCTGTGGGAGAGAACAAACCAGCTTCCAAGTGAAGATGAAATTAAGAATAGGACACATTGAGAAAATCATCAGACTGCATCACGAAGCAAGCGCTAATATGGAATCCTGAAGAGAAACAGAAAAGAGTAAGATCAAAGAACATACTATGTCTGGAATTGGAAACAGACATTAAACGGTTGAATAACAACTGGAGATAGTTGGAAAGGATCGTACAGGACGGAATTGGATTGAAAATACTGGTGGGTGGTCTATACTCCTCCATGAAGGTTAAGAGGCGTAAGTAAGTAATATTAACAACATGTTACACAAATTCTTTTCGATTAATTATGCACTAATCTCTGCAGTAGTTTGGGACCATATAAACAGGAATTGTATAATTGTACAGAATACTTTTATCAGTAAACTAAATTACTTTAATAATGTTCTACAAAACATATTTGTAGGACATCTTACTAATAAAATCGGTGGTGTGGAGGATTGAAAGCAATAAATAAAAAAAATAAAATTATCCCTGAATGTTTCTTATTCCTATTTGGCAAAACTTACCAAGGAAATTATTTATGTCCAAATTCATATACTTGAACTGCTGTAAAATGTAGAATATTAAACCGATGAACATAAGTGCTATATCTTACATCATTCATAAGTGACTAAATTGCCTGATTTTTTTTAACTCGTTTGTCAGTAAACAATCAACTGAAGTAAAATATTGACTGTTCCACATCAGTGCCTTACGCAATAAAATTTAAACTTTGCTAATATTAACAAACTATACTTCATGAAACTAAAAATTGTTTATTTTCTTGCTTTTTCCTTTTCCAGACAAACCCCATACTCATCAGTAATAAACATTTTTTTAAGATAATAAGTCAAATAAAATGTCAGGGTATCAAGGTAGGTTTATTACGTATAAAAATTCTGTCCAATAAATACACAAACTGTAGTAACAAAGCTTTATTTCACAAAAATTAATCTACATCAACAAAGTCCATTTCAATAGTTCTTTCTTTTTTGGCAACAGACCTCTTAATCGTTCAAAACATTCAAAGAAGTCCTTGAGTGCTGTTGTTTCATATTTTGTCAAAATGGTATGAGGAAACAAATTTTTCAAACTTAACCCATACAGGAAGTAAAATGGTGATCATCTGATACAAGAAAGCGTAAATGCATAATGTTTTTAACAGTACAAGGGATTGATGACTGTTCACAATTAATAGTATTACTATTTATTAAGATTCGTTTGTTGATGTTAAGGTCTGGAATCGATTAGTATTATTTTGCTGCTGTGCACATGAGGAGATTGTCTCAATGTTGAAATTTAGCCACAAGATTTGATAAACTTTCAGCTAACAGTGGCTAACATCGACAATCAAATAATATAAACATCTATAATTAAAAATTATACCCGTTACACAAACTAGTATATATCTAGACTCAGTAGTTCAATGAAAAATACTTTGGAATTATGAAGCGAAAATTGTTAGGTTCAAATCACAGTGTGAATATCAAAGCTGAAAAGTTTTAAACAGGACTATATGGATGCCTTAGATTCTACTGTTAGCCACTATTTTACATTTTACCTTAGTTTTTTTTTATCAAATTTTTCAATATTTGTTGAACAAATTATGCAATCACTTGATATTTCATCACTTTTATTTTGATTTTGATTTCTCTTTACTCTTTACTCTCTCCTTTCTTCTTTACATATATGTATCTATTTAACAGATGATACTGATGACAAAGAACAAGGAAACACTCAATCCTCAGCTTCTGTGCTTTCAGATATAAGTATATTAAATATAGCTAAAGCATTAACTGAAAATGATATGAGAGTATTTTTATTATTAAATATACCATTAACAACATGTATTAATAATTATGAAGAAATGCGTACATTCAATCAACGTGAAGCAGCATTTAGTCAAAAAACATTAATGTATTGGAAAAAATTACGTGAAACAGTTAAAGATGATATAAAAATAGCTGAATTAGAATATGCTTTAAGACAATCTGATCATAAAGAATTAGCTGATATATTAGTTGAAAGAAATCGTATGAATTTAGAAATTACACGAGATCTATTACAGAAATAAATTATTTTAAGAAGGTTGTTTTTCTAATGTTGATATATATATATATATATATATATATATATATATATATATCAAATTACAACTATGTTGGTGTACCCATCCATTCCATAATACTCATTACCTTTTATATCAATATACAAAGGTTGGTGGAATATGTGTTGGTTTTGTTCTATTTGAAGTTGATGATTACATTTTGGAATATTGATGTAACTTGCATGTTATTTGTATAATAATAAACTGTTTGTACAAGTACTTTTATATGTTTTTATAGTATATGATTAATATAAATATTTCAAAATATGAATTTTGGATAAACTGACTTGTATATTTTTTAGAGTTTAGATAGTTAAAGAAGTAATTGTCAGAAGACTATTACTGTTCTTATTGTATTCTGCTTGTTTTCATCAATAATGGGCTCTCTCATCATCATCATTTGTTTGTTTGTTTTTTTACCTTAGGTTAATATGACTAAACTATGTAAGTTGGTGAAATCATATTGACCAGTAGATACAAGAAAAGTATCACTCAATTATCATTAAATAATCAGTTTTAAATGTTTATTATGGCCTTGAAAACATGTGAAATATCGTACAAAATCTTATTTTATGAGAATTATTTGATGAATTACAAATTAATTGTGACAGTTAGTAACTTGAATTCAAATTACGTATGGATTATAAGTTTAGCTACAAGATTGTAGATCAAAATGTATAAATGAATTACAGCTATTAGAAATTTTAGTCTTGGAGTTTTCAGTTAACTGCTTATCTATACAACTAATACCAAACCTTTAGTGAATATTAAACTAATAGTCAAGTTGTGATGAGATTAATAAAAGTCGATCAGCTCTACTGGTTACAAAAACTTGACATTACTAAATTAAAGTCTTTGCTCTCAAGAATAAAGACAATCAATAAGAGACAATGAATTAAGACTTCCATTTGGTTCTCAAACATCAGTAAGATATATTTGAAAAACAGGAGGGATCGATGCTGTTCTAAAATTTTTAGCAGTTGTTGTTTAATATTAAATTAACAGACATTACTGCTCAGATATGTAAATAAAATTGGTTTTCTAGGTCAAAAATATATGTGCCAAACGGTCACTCAATGGTAACCACTCATATCTACTGATCGGCACTAATCGAATTAAGTTCAGAAAATGTAGCATATGGACAAAATTACTCGGACTTAAGATGAATCTTATATACTGTTAGACGGCTGACATTATTCAGTAGGATGCCATAGACCTAGGTTTCGCAGCAGTGGTCACTGGGTGAAACGGGTTGGAAGATCTACAGCACCTGTGTTTCTTTCAGAATCGGAAATATGACTGAAAGTCACCTACTTAATTCAGTTTGAGTTCATTCAAACACTTCGTCACTTAATATCACCATCATATTGCAAATATCATACGCAGAATTCGATTACTATTTAAGAGTAGACGCCGACACTAACTGCAAATCAGTCCATTTTCAGTTGACTATCGGATTGAAACGGTTAATGTTTCTCATTATATTGCTTATACGTTTAAAGGCTTTTCAGATCATTTAACATCGTGAATTATGGATATAAAAAGGAATTTAAAGGATTATTTTTATAAGACAATTGGCTTTTAAACTGGTTACTATCTTTTGAGCATTATGTATTAGTAGATTTTATCATCGTATTTTCCTGTTAACAAAGGATTTAATATAATTAACTATCAAATAAAAGTAGTACATGCTTGAAATACTATTGACCAAGAAGAAAGAAATCAATAAATTATCATATTATGAAGTAATTTAGAACAAACTACCCAATCACATGTGTTAATGGATAAATGAAACTTGCTTATTTAACTAGGAAATTGTCCTCTTTTATAAATATAAGATATTTTATTATCTTAAATTCCATGATCTTCTTATGACATATGTTTTAAACTAAAAAGTAGTCTACTGAAAGCTTTAACAAATATGAAACTTTACTATTCTGTGTTCTTATAAATAAACTATTTTTTACTTGATATAAACAGGTTTTCCATAGTGGTCTAGCTTCAACTGACTCATGATCTTAACCATTGAAATTACTGTAATATCCACAAAACCCCTCCTGATAAAAATAAATTAATACAATAATTACCTATCAAAATTGATATATTTTATACGAATATTCGTCAAGATTAGAACGAATAGTTTGACAGAAATTGGGCACCGAGTATAGAAAAGTCATTATATGTGAAAATTATATTTGGAATAATCTCAGCAATTAAAATTCAAATCATTCAAATGTTTCGTCCAGTAGATTCATCTGAACGTCTTCAAGGTAATAATCAACATTGAAATTATTTAAGATACATGTAGTGTTTAACAATCAAAGTAAGGATTTGATTTTGATTATTACCCTGAAGAAGTCTAGTTAAGTTTACTGGACGAAACGTTTGAATGATTTAAATTTCAATCACTGAGATTATTTCAGATATAATTTTCACATATAATAACAAAATATATAATTGTAATTAAACATAAGTACATGACCTACAAAGAAATATATATACATGATATTCAAACTTAAAAAACATACTCATGAGATATATAATCAAGAAATGTCACGTTTAGAAATAATTCTCACAGTCCTAATAGATGAATTTCGACCAAGTTTATAGTGTACAAATTACTTATCAAAATCATTAGATAATTGTTATTCTGAATCATTAGTTAATTCGATTAAAAATTAGTATTTGCTAACCAAACTAAAGAGGAAAGATTGATTCACAAAAAATTCATTAACCTGTATCACTGAAAATTTCTAGAGTAACACAAAACTCAGTAATTTCTAGTATTCAATAATTCTTTAAATGAAATGAGTCCTTGACGAATTTATCTTCAAGATATCAAAGATGATTCATATATTTATATAGTTTAGTCTTCCCTACATATCAGCATAGATTATCATAAGTTAGAATTATAACACTGTTTATATTTCATTTAAGTATTTGCTTACTTCTAGATAATTCTTAACAAATTCATCATAAACTATTTAACTTCAATTATCCATTGTTGCCAAAAAAATCCCACAAAATTTGGTTGCATTAAAACACACATTTTTAATTGATCTACCCACTTTTTCTTTTAGAGACTGTTCATTACACGAAAAGATATATGGGGTAAAGTGGTCAGGAAAAAAGAGAATATTACATATACATAATCAATTCAGGATATATATATATCTGGTTTTATATATATATAAATTCTAAACTTCTACATTATATACAACTTTGCTTTCTTTTGAGTGAAAAATATAAGTCAATAGGTAGATGGGTACAAGAGAGGTGAAAGTGATGAGGAGCATTTAAACAAACCGAAAATATTTAGTCTCATTATAAAAAGATATATATTTGTTTTAAAAATCTCTGTTTTTCCAAATATATATATGTATATATATTCATTTCATATTATCTAACAGTAATCGAATATAAACATAAATAAATATCAGTTTAGTATGAGATCATAAAGTAGTCGTTTTTCAAAAAACAAAAACAAACAAACAAAATAACCGATGTATAACACCGCAGAATATTGAAGATAATAAACAATAAAGTGAAAAAAATGTCTTGATTCATTAACAATTATGATCTGTTATTGCAATAATCAGAAGAAGAAAAAATTGTCATATATAGTAATAGTAATCGTAATAATAGTTGAAATTAAATACATAAGACAAAATAATGGAATGTAAAGAAGATAGAATATATTATAGATAATGATGATGGTGATGATAATGATGTTGATGATGATGACAAAATTGAAGGTTTTCTTATAATCATATTAAAGTTCAACATAACCATATAATTCATGATATTTATTACAGTATTATTCGAGAAGCTGATATATGTATATTATGCAAGTATACAATATTGTATGCTTATATTAGAAAGAAACAATAGTTGGATTCAATTAGACAGACATAAACCTATTAATTATCTAGTCAGTATATATATATATATATATATATATACGATTGAGTTATATCACGGATGTATTTCAATGTCATATATTCATTCTTTGAGACTGAAGTTGATCTGTGAATAAAAAAAAAACAAAAAAAATTACACATTATAGGAATGTACAAGAAGAATGAGAATCAAAGTGAACGTGCTCATATTGACAACATAATTAAATATATATAATGAAAATAAAAATCTGATTTATTTTAAATGGTTATAATAAAATGTTTTGTTGTAATCTAATGAATGGAAAAATTATATTTCTGACGTTTCGTGACTTAATTTAAGCCACTTCTTCAGAGTAAACAACTAACCGAAGTTAAATTAACACAAATTTAAATAGTACAAATGGTAGCAGTGCAAAATATTTTTAATACAATCAAAATCATATTAGATTTGAATATGTCAATGTCAAGTCATTCTTAATCAAGTTGGTCATACAAATTCAACTTGATTAAGAATGACTTGACATTGACATATTCAAATCTAATATGATTTTGATTGTATTAAAAATATTTTGCACTGCTACCATTTGTACTATTTAAATTTGTGTTAATTTAACTTCGGTTAGTTGTTTACTCTGAAGAAGTGGCTTAAATTAAGTCACGAAACGTCAGAAATATAATTTTTCCACTCACTGGGATATAACAAAAACATGCTTATTATTTAGAGTATGTGCTTTATAGGACTGCTATTTCAATAGATAAAAATAGTTAGTATGCATCATAGGCTTCATTAGTAATCAGTGTTTCTAGCCTTAGTAAATTTCTGGCAGACTCAAACACTAAGGACTCAGAGATATCGGTGATAACTTACTAAACAGTAAAGTGTAGAAAATTCTACTAGTGACTGAATTCTATCCATTTTTTTCTTTTATAGTTATTAGATAATTGGATCACTGTACTTCTATATTCCATGTATTATGAGTTTTCAATGAACCTGTTAACTGTTGATATACCTTTTAATATCCCTTTAATTTTAAGTGATTGAGTACCTACTGCTTCGTATTCTGTCATATTTGACTTCATTATATGTAAAGTAAGATATCTTACTTGGGGTGCGATGCGATCAAATGCATAGTGTACATACATTCATTAGTGTTGAGCAATATACAGACTAGGTGTCTTAAACATAGGTATATGGAAGCTTGGTTGCTGTGTTTCCTCTTATCAGATTAGTGACTAAGACAAAGTACAAAGACTTACGTTTGAAACCAATATTAAATAAGATTATCTTTGGGTTTAATTGTATTAGTCAGAATGTGTAATTGGTCAAAATATAAGATATTGGCCTATTTAGAAAAATAACATAATTCTTATTGGTGAATCTAAACAAGCGATAGTGATTAACGTTCTCATTCTCAACGTACTAATCACTGCTTTTTTTTCAATAATAATTATATAAATTTGATCATTCACATATACATGCAATATTAAACATATATCCGTGAATTGCAAAAAGTGGAAATTGTCATTTTAAGTTATATCAATCTATAATCAATAGCAGAATATATTTCTACAGAATAATCAATAGTCAACTGAACTTAAGATTTCATTCTTAAATTACCGCAAATTATCAGTTTAGGGATTGTGGAGATTGTTAAGTTTTTGATTGAGATCATGAACCGGTTGATGTTAGACCACCATCGAAAACCTGGAAGCACTGGACGGCCATTTCGTCCCATTGTAGGACCACTCAGCAGTGCGCATCCACGACCCCGCTCGCAGGATTATCAATCGAAAACTTAACAATCTCCACAACCCCTGAACTGATAATTACTATGTGCTCACTAGTGACTAGCTTCGTGAGAAAATTCTCTGAGTTCTAGTGAGAAGCCGTGACCAGTGAAGCTGATCCGTGTCTGGTAGAGACAGGTGTCTACCTCAGTAAAATGGAAGATGGTCATGCAACTTCGTGGATTGGTTTAGGTTAGACGTTAACACCATTGGATGCCTGCCAGCTCAGTGGTTCAGTAGGTTAAGCGTTTGTTTGCGAGACTGAAAACCCTGTGTTCGAATCCCGCGAGCGGGATCGTGGATGCGCACTGCAGAGTGGTTTTACAATGGGACGAAATGGCCGTCCAGTTCTTCCAGGTTTTCGATGGTGGTCTAACATCAACCGGTTCATGATCTCAATCAAAAATACCACAAATTATTTCAGCTAACATGCAACAAATTTATATAATAACTTATTTCATTAGTCTCACTTGACCACGACTGACAACATTATCGATCGATTTTCGCATTTCTTTGACTATTACTTTACAGTAGGCTCACTTACATCAAAAATCCTTTCAAAGATATATACATTCAGTTATAACCTCTTTGACAAATATATAAAATACAATTAGAAGATAAATTCTATAACAATCATGATTTTTGTCTTATATCTCAATTGTTTAACTGACTTCTTTATTGATATCTATATATAAATGTTTTAACAAGTTAGTTAGTTTACTCAAAATGTATTGTACCATTTTATATGACATAATTGTATTGTATTTTATTCATTTATTATAGTATAATTAATATAAATGAGTAAGATGAATATTGTTGGTTTATAAATTTATTGATTATGTTTATATTTAATAGTTTGTTGAACGAGTTTAACTTTGTTTATATTTGTAGTTATAGAGACCATAGTAATAATAATAATAATGATCATAGGTAGTGACAGAAATATAAAGACTAGCCAAATTAAATGTTAAATATCAGAACTGATTAGATTTAACCAGAGTGTAAAATGGACTAAGACACATAGACAGAATTTTATTGTTTATGCCTTAAAATGATTGAGTAGAAAAAAAAAGAATTAAATAACTAAACACTATTTTTAATTTTTGGTCTAATTAATTTATACAAGTGAATAATTTTCAAACTAAGTTGAAAATGAGACTTGAGTTAGTGAACAGGATATTCGCTAGACTGGATATGTATATATATAAACCTTTGTTCTATTGATACTCATAGGTGATAAAATAAATGACTATTTCAACCTTCTGTACAGTGATTAGCATTAGGATCAAAAATGAGAAATTCATCTTATTTGAGACTGTCCAAATAGATATATCATTATTTCAGGTTTGATTTTAACTCAATTATTCAAATATAGTATTAATGACTTTAAATGTTTAGCTATGATGCTTGTTAGATAAGTTGTGTTTTTATCATTATTTTGTACGTGATAAATAGTGTTCTTGAACTGAAGCGAAATCTATTCAGCTACTAAGTGGATGAAAAGTGTACAAACTTATTTGGTTAAATATTCTCAATAGAATTTTACATGATGTACAATTTCTCAAATTTATAGTAGGAACCTGATATAAATGGAGCATGAATTTTTTTATTTGCCACCATATACTTCGATTATATTATAATGAAATTGGTGACTGAGATTATGCTAAGCCTAGACTGGAAACTCCTTGATTAATGTGTCATGGACAGACTAGATCATTTTATACTATACACATAGTACACGACAAAATACAGAGTCAGTGTTTGGGCTAAACAATACTTTATCGAGCACAATTACGAGCAGTCTACACTAGGAGAGTTTAAAGTAGTGTCTGTCCATCCACGCCCGGTGAACATTTAAATTTACTTATACTAATAGAGCTTCTGAACTTATGATCAATAAGATCTAAATTTAGACATTAGATATGATAAAAACAGCGATATATCAATGATCGAATGAAGTTGATAATTTGAGTAATGACATATAGACTAAACCGTTACAAAGTATGATACTTTCTATCAAATAATGAAATCTTGTTTCCTGTTCTCTTTATTATCACAGGCATTTACCATTAGGGTGTGTGGAATATCTATTCAACGATTGATAATTCTCAGTGGTTTTCAAGATGATGTAATAAATTACTTTATAATAAAAATTAACCTGAAATACAATTAGTTCGTATGCAAGTGAATAACTTTTAATTAACTAAGAAAGTTGGCAATTTTATATCAGTATTGGTAGTCTAATTACCACACGCTGAGAAAAAGATGATCAATTCATAAATGTACTTGAATTAATTTCTATTGTGACAAGTCACCTTATATTAACTCTTGTTTCCTAGTTAAATAAAATATCACAAAAATAAATATGAAAATGATAGTTTTCGTTAAGAAAAAAGAAACAATAAGCGAAGTATTTGTTTTATATGCAAAGATAGATAGTAGCTAGCAGTGGAATCCAGAACGCGCGTTTCGTCCCATTTGGGACTCGTCAGCCGGATGTACCTGCATCTCAGAGTTGATGTTCACTCTGGGACTCGAACTCATTACCGTTCGCTTCAAACGCCATCGCATTATCTACTTAGCTACTGAGTGCTGATAGCCACTTGCTTATGCATTGGGGTGAAGTCTATATCAAGGCAATACGAACAATATGCACATATGCCAATAACAAACTGATCAATTGCAGTCCTAAACATCAATAGGAAGATTCAAACAAACAATACCAAGTGAATTTAAAGTATTTATTTGGTTTTGTAAACTTAAAAACAACAAAAAAGTAATTCTGTAAAATCTTTCGGAATTATTTACCTTCTTAAAATATAAAAACCTGTATTAACTAGTTGATTTTTAAAATATGAACATTTTATTTAAATGTTTTCATCATTAGTTTATCAGTTTTCTGGAAATGAATAATTATAACTGTCAACAACTAAGGTAATTGAGAAATATATTAGTTATTCTCCCCCCCCCCACTAGATTATGCTTATCTCGATATGTCTTGTTGATTAGCATAGTAGTAAAGTAACTAATAACAGCTAGATTAAATCATTCTATTAATTAATGAAGTTCATATCAATCAATCAGTCAGTCAGTTACAACGTAGAACCAGACACATATATGAATCGGTCCAAGTTGCTATACTGCGTTAGCACAGTATGACGAAGACCGGATTCATAGAAGCAGTTAACTCACTGGTGTTATGTATAAAGGAAAGATTTTATGTAAGGATATAGTGCAGAAAGAAAGAATTAGTTCGTAGAAAGAAAGTTTTGAAGCGAGTGTAATCTCACAGTTTAAGGGAAGACAGAGAGTGTATACACCTACTCCATTGTGATCGATTCTGAGCCATGTCACCAAGAGTCTCCAACCATTGGTTACGATAGTCGCGCGGACCTTAACCAAGTAGTCTGCATTTACTAACATGGCTAAGACTAGAAGTTAGTGACTTCGAGCATTGATGCCACGTTTTGGTTTGGCCGCGCTTAACTAAGTTATGTAGTTAAGTGAAGACGTCCTTGTTTCAGTTCATAAGATAATAGTAATTAGTTGGTAGGGATCTTTCGTAAAACAAGACAAAATTCACTTCAGCTTTATCTATTCTTTATCTATTTTTAAATTTTGAATTCTCATATTATTTGATTTGTTCTTTTCAAACAGTAAATAGTCCTTATTATAAATTTTGAGAGTGCTACAAGAAGACGAAGTTGAGCTGAGAAGTTTGATGCATTTATACCTCTTACTTAGAGCAATCTAGTCACACATAATAATGGAAATTAATTTACTAATTAATATGTTTTCGTGGTGGCACATACATAGGGAAGAATAACCGGAAAATTCAAACAAGATTTATAAAACATTTGTCTAGATAGCTTCAAAACCAGTTAGTGTCAAATACTACGATAAATATACAGAGTGGAGGACCATGTTCACCGATTACAAACACATATTTGAAATGGGCCATATAAGTGACATTACCATACCTTTCAAAATATTGGATAGGAATTTTGAAGTACGAATTCTCATGTTTATATGAGCTTTGGTTGGTGGTAAATTCAAACGCTGTTTATGTGTACAGGAATACTTTGTAGTAACCTTTTATATACCATGATAATATCTGAGCTATTTTAAAGTCTATGTTGATGGAGTAATCTCTCCATTATTTATTAAGCTCTTAGTTAACAGACTTCAATTAGTTTTTATGAAAAACTACCTTGAAAATTATATATTTGACCAGATTGTTCAAAAATAAATAGCTTAGAAATACATTCTTCTCAGATGAACTCTTTCTTACCATCATAATATGTATTCCTTAGTTAATGTTCAACTATGTACATGAGAAAAATGAACAAAAATTAGACAGAACTGGAAAGGAAGGCCCAGTACAGAGTGGGTTGGAGAATGCTGGTCAGTGGCCTATGCTCCTTTGGGAGTAACATGCGTAAGTAAGTAAGTAAAGTAATGTTTATCATAATCGTTTTAATACCGTTTTGTTTTTCAGAAATTAAATTTTCCGTCTGCTTGAATTGTTCAGATTGCATGTAAAAGTGAACTAGGTTAAAATAATTATTTTCTAAGAAAAATAATCCTTCTTTTTTTCATTATATAGTCAGTATCACCGAAAATATTCAGTTGACCGAGTTTCGAAAAATTCCAGTAAGCTGAACGCTGAATTTTCACGACAAATTAGATAAGTGAAAATAGGTATTATACTCAGTGAATGGAGGTTTCTCTGATTGGTACTACAAAATAAAAAACAAAGGTTCACCTTCTGTTTCGAGTTACTCCTAAGCATACAGTGTGCAATATGGTACTACATTGGTTTGCTCAATTTATAACTTTAGTATTTTAACTAAATGAATATAGTTTCGCATAATTTTAAAACTAGAAAAAGAAATATCTCATGAAATGACCAATCCATATTTGTAGTTACATCATTTTAAAATTTTTTCCGACTCATTGGAATCACCATTTTTCCTGACACTTGTCACATGAAGCAAATCTTTAGTCCTATGGAAGGTCAGTTGTAACTTGAATAGTTCAATAGTATTTTCTCTGTTTAAAGCTAGGTAACGTGGGCTTTAATTCCACAGGGAGCATCAGTTCCTACTAGATTTCATGTAACCATATTGAAGAACACTAATAAGCGCAAAAACTAGATTCATGATAACTCCTCGATAGTTTTAAATCATCTAGCATAATCAGATGTTAAAATCCCTCAAAAATTTATTCAGTGATTTGTTTAAAACAACAATTAGTCTAAGATCCTCAGCATGCTAGTTGATTGCGTTTTCTGTTAGATATTTTATTTTGATCAGCAGACAAAAGTGAATAAATAATATTCTCGATTATTTATTAAAGCTTACTAGGAAACAGTAGATTTAATGGCAATTTGATTTATATCTTTTTTGGAACATAATTTTAAATTTTACAATTAAGTAGAGGACACAACAACTAATCAAGAAAAGAGATAAACAAAACAATCGTCATAGGTATCATTACCAAGATTTGATTAGATAATTTCGAATAAATTGACCGAAATGACATGGTATTAACTTGTTCAGACCTGTTTTTGATTGATCACATATTATTCTTATTGTTTCGTTGTACTATTTAAACTTGGATTAGTTTTAATTTGGTTATTTATTCTCTGAAGAAGTAACTTACACTAAGTCACGAAACGTCAGAAAATCTAATTTTTCTACTCATTGGGATATTACAAATATATTATTTATTTACAAAAATAATCGTCAGTTGATCAGCGCACAATGTTATTAGATAAATAAGTTATGCTTAGGATGCAGCTAAATATTGATAATGTTCCTCCGTATAAAGAAAAAGTAAACTTTAATTCTGAATTTAAACTATTCGTTCGAAAAAGTCAACAAATTTAGTAAATGATATTATCGATTAAATCTTTTGTAAACTATTAACCTTATAACATGTAATAGAAATGTAAATTACAAAAAAAAATAGTCACTTTCTAAACAGAATAAATGTAACTTACCTTTCGGTGATTTATTCACTGTACTTCTTCTAGAACTACTGTCCTTAGAGCTCTGAATAAAATGATTGAAATTATTACATAATTCATTATTGATTTATAATGTAGTAACATATTTAAAAAAAAAGCAAATTAAGCACATCTAATTAAAAGATGGTGTCACATAAAATGTCATTAAAAGTAGTATATTTTTATGAGTTAAATAACTGAAATATAACTGTTAATACCCGTGAATAGCATCCGAGGTTACAATTAAGTTGTAATTAATAGTAATCAATAAGAGCAGTTGGGAATATATTTTTAAATCTGATGTATGATTAGCCAAAACGTTATTAGTCTAAGTCTTTTTATTAATTTATAAAAGAATAAGGAACTTTACACCAGATTTCAGAATTTCACATGTGTGTTTCATTGTGAAATAGAAAACGTGACTATAGTTTTCATGACATCATTTATATAACTATCAGAAATTGATATCAACTGAAGAATTATTACAATCTATGAGGCATCGGATGTATGTTAACATTTGTTCACTGTTCTTGAGTAGCGTATATATAGTAAATAAGTGATCCAATTTGAAAACACTTCCTTCTCATTGACATTAATTCATTTCAACTGATTTAGCAAATACTGTAATCCTTGCTATGATACTGAAATGAATTATGTGGAGGCTGTCGTGCAATGGGCAAGTATACTGAACAACAGATCAGTATATTTTGCTTAGTGGCTGTGGAACATGACCTATAATGATGGTGGATATCCGTAGGTTGTCAGTATTTCATCATAGGTGTCTTTGAGCATTGCCCATTTATCTTAGGACTACCGTATGATAAACACTGAAGTTAGACTCAGAGTATTAGTTCAAGATGAAAAATAATTTGTTGATACCGTGAGTCTTCTTTGATAGAGATGTTTGGAACATGTAATATATTTTCCCAATCACTACCCACCTTGATGTCCGGCGATCTCTGGTAGGTCGGCAGAAATTTAGGGTTGGAAAAACGAAATGTAACTCCGGACCATGAATGTATTAACTGTAGGTTTCAGCCATGTTAGCATGTGCAGGAATTAGGTGATATGGTTCAGAATCAATTATAGTGGAGCAAATGTATTCACTTATTACCTTCCATATGATCCTGAGTTTCGAAATCAGCTTGTAACTCTATTTTTTTTCGCGTATTTATTATTTATTCTCAAATAATCCTTAGGTTCAATTGTTTCTTTTACCACTAGTAATCTTACTGCTTTTACAACTCAGATTTATTTTAATGATGTTATTTCACTATACTGTGGTGTGGTAAATTGAACAGATGCATATATATCTCACGTTCTACGGTGATTATAACTGAATAAGTGAGGACCTGAAATACTGTATGAAAACAATGCTTAAAAGGTAAAACTACTTCGATAACAATGATAATAAAGCAACAGAATTACCTTAGCTTGTCTTGAACTGTCAGATGAAGTTTTCGATGAAGATACTGACTTTTTAGGAATTGGTATAACAACTGGCATTAACGCATGAAGACTAAACCAATGAGGTTTACCATCTAGGTATTCTTTATCTAAAATAGTTATATGTTCATTTGAAATAATAAAAGTGTATCATTAGTATGACAAAAAATTAATAAAATCATTGATATACGAAAGTCTTTCAAGAGAATAAGTTAACTTCCATGTAAATGAATGAATTAGTTTTGTAATAATAAATGTAGAATATTCATGGCTAAAGTTGTAGTATGAGAACCACTGAATTCAAGTCACTGCCTGAAAGAATAAAGAATAATTGATTTACTCTTGTCTAAAGCTCTTAAGAATTTGAAACTTAAGCGTAACTCATCTACCTAATTCTTTGCCATACATAAACAGTTGTAAATACTTTCCAACTAATTTTTTTACCAACGAAATTGAATAAGTCTACTTATCATAATATTTTTATTTGAAAGCAATAGAAAGCTAGTTACAGATAAGAAATTCATTCCGAAATTTGTATTATATGGAACCGAAAATGAATAGTTGGTGGATACGATGATCCACCTAGGGGAGTTGGAAAACCCTGATTCATAAACCAATGGTGAACATGGGCTCCAGAATCCTAAGGAAACGAATGGCATGTGAACCTATTCTTGGTCACCGGCTACCATGGGACTTCATCTCCTTACGTTACTCAATTGCCTTGTGGATTTGATCTTTAGGTCAAAAGGTCGGGGTGTGTCCCCCTAAGAAAACCACCTGCTTCGGTTCGGCCACCCGGATAGTATCAAAGCCCTCACACAAATCATTTGATTTGTGAGGCACATATCTATTTGGTGCCTCCTTATACCAATGTTTATTTGTTTAAATAAATAAATTCATTTCAGGGTAGTGTACATTTAAAATTAATTTTTCGACCAATTCTTTTATACTTGTAACCACTGTACTTGTATTTTTTCATAATATTCACCTTCGTATATATCAAATATTGACGATTTCGTAATCAGGTTTTACCATAACAATTAAATTTAGGTTGAATTCACTATTCAATCAATAATTTCCCGCAACTGTTGTTTATTGTTTCATCAGTTATCTTAACAATCAACCCGTTCCGTAAATTAATCGAGGAATGTTTACTGTTTCCATCACAAATGTAAGCTATGAATTAATCAGGGAGAGGTATCATAGATATTATAGTAATATAGTGGATTGGTTAAAGTTATACATTAACAAAGTTGGATGCCTACTCAGTGGTCTAGGGTTTAAGCGTTCGCTCGTGTGACCCATAGGTTCTGGGTTTGAGTTTCGCGGGGTGAGATCGTGAATGAGCACTGCTGAGGAGTCCAATATTAGGACAAAACAGCCGTCCAGTGCTTCCAGGTTTTTCATGGTAGTCTAGCTTCAATTGACTCATGAATTCAACTATTAAATTATTCATTAATATTTAAATCACTACTCAGATGAATAGTTTTTATCCAATATCACTAACTTTTGTTAAACAATCGTTTAAGAAGGATTCAGTAATCGAATAGATCATTTAATTCATTCTATTAATAGATTCTTACTTCAAATAATGTAAAGAGAAGTCAGTAGTTTTACGAATTCATTTAGTAAATCAGTTAGTTATTAAAAATTAGTCTAGTAATTTCGGAAAATTTAATATTAGTTTGCCATGAAGTTGAAAGAAACCTGTGTTAAAATTATCTTGGTGCATAAGTTAGTCTCCGAACACTGTAGTACTTTTTAACACGAACGGGTAATGCTTTACGTCTCAGAATATTATAATTAATTCTAGCGTTTATGACCTTTTTCAATGAATTCCTACTCTTGTTTCAATGTTATTTCCATAAAAGTGAGAGAGATAAATTGAATTAGCTTACAAGAAAGATTCACCTAAGAAAGTTGAAAATAGTGAATAATATGGGAACCTACTTTCCAACAGATTTTATATGAATACATTCCTTAAAATTATTACATAAGAGTGTAGATCAAATCTATGGTGAGTGAATGAGGAAATGATTTCCTACTGAAGTCACTTTCTTTTATTTGAATATTAAAATAGTGTTATAAACCTTGAACAAATTATAACAATCATAATAAAGGAAATGAAAATTTATGTATCATATTTCTTACTACCTTATTACTGATATGTCTTGTTGTTTGAATGCTACTTGATATATCTGATCGTTGCTGATTATTGTGTCGAAAACATTTATCACTTATACTTGGAACGAGGGTCCACCGTGATTCCTACGACGCGAGGAGGGTCGTCGTCGTCATATTTTGGGGTTAATAAATCTCCACTTATACCAGTCCTTGTATTTTTAGTTTCGCGTCATGAGAATTGCAGAGGTCCCTCGTTCCGAGTATAAGTGATAAGCGTTTCTGACACAACAATCAGCAACGACTAGATATAACAAGTAGAATTCAAACAACAAAATATATCAATTACACCAAACATTCTTTCATGTTATAAATAAAATAATAATAATATATAAACCTTTTAAAGATATTAGAATTATTATATGTTTAATTTAATCTAATAAAGTTAGAATACTTACCACCAAGGTTAATAATTGTTTGTCCCATAAAATCATTTGTTTTTAATCGATCAAAATCCCATACAGTTACTTCAAGTACACGTCGTTTCAATGTACGTTTTATACAATTCATAAATACAACAGTCTGTTGCCATTCAGGTGTTAATGTATTAGGCATATATTTTGTTTGACGATTAAAATCAGGGCTAATATGATTATTTTAAAATAATAGTTGTATAAAATAAAAGATTTAAAATAAAAATGTTAATATAATATAACTTTGGTTTTATTTGAAAAACAAAGTATGTATCAAGATTAAAACTTTTCAATCATCTTTACAATTACTTGCTTTATAAACGTCTATTCAACTTGCATGGTATTTTTATCATGAATTTATGTCTTCCATAGAACTTAGTTGAAACCAACAATCACCTAAATATCCATTTCGTTCTAATTTCATACTTCACAGTAATCTCTAGCTACAGTTTTTGATCATTCAGTAAGTGTATAATACTACTAAGTAGTAGAGTTAGAATTCAATAATTTATGCTTCTGATTCCATATAACTTTTGATAAAGCTTAGCTCTCAACCCATGTTATTCATTAACAACTTCCTCACTTCTGAATGATAATATAACTTCAAGAAATCTGTTTCGAACCATGCTATCAATGAGAATATGCTTATTTTTAAAATAACTGAATACTACTCCCTTGGAGGTAATGGAAATTAAGATGTAGAATACAGAGATGTTCTTTGCCTTACAGCATCTTTATTTCTTAAATTATAATCATGAGAATTTTACAGGTGTCCAGTCGAAAGTCGATAATCAACATGAGTAAAATGTGTAAATTATTAGTCTTATATTATCTATTGAAAGCTTGGCCTAAATACTAAGATAGGTGTTAATATTTACCAAAATATGCTTCAAGCATAAAACAAAAATAATATCCATTCAGTAATTCAGTATTAACATTCTATATTTCTTTACGAACAGATCAGTTAGCATGTTTAAAGTAAATTAAAGTATATTTCAATAAGTCATATAATGACGACACTATGTTCTCTTTTATTCAGTGTTTATTAGATTCCAGTAAGTAGATTTCGAATGTGATCACCAAGTCATGTGATTTTAAATCAACATTCAACTTAAAAGTAATCTGTCACTAAGTAGTAACCAACGTCAACGCTCAAGTTACAATATAGTCATTGAATCAAATAGTTTAATATCACGGCTGACATCATTTAATGTTAGATCATAAAGAGAATTTGAATACTGCAGGCAGCGTTAATTCACTCCAGATTTCAGCCATGTCTTGCTAACATGTGCCAACTAGCACAAATCCTAGATTTACAGTTTCCTGTAAACTATTTAAAGCTACATAAACTGTAATCTTAATCTGAACTTATTATTCACATTGCTACATATAATTTCAAAGTACAATAAACTGTCGAAAAGAAAGTAATCATAAGAAATCTAAAATTCATAACTAAAACATAATTAATTAGTTATACTTACTCTTCCGTTGGATCTGGATGTAGTCTTACTTTTACAAATGGATCAGCTAAACCATTTAAATCCATCGCTGGAAGATTACGTGCACGTGCAACATGTACAGTTAAACTTTGATCATAATCATCAAATGTTAGTATTAACTAGAATTAGATAGATAAATAAATAATAAAGATATAATAATAACATATTTTTGTGGCCATATGAAAATATTTGTAGCTTAATTAGATGCTTGTTATATGATATCACACTTTAAAGGCTACATGGTTTTAACTGTAAAATATTATTATTATAATGAACAATATAACCATGTGTATACTTCAAAGAAAAAGAAACTTGTCAAGGTCATTCCATAAGTGTGAGTAATTGGACAGTCTGATAATCTTGACTGTGATTGACCATTCTCAAAAACTTTGTTATGTATATTTTCAGTAAAACTATTCGGTTGAGAAAGTATAATACTACGTAAACGTTGAACTCCGTCTGTAGATCTTCTAGAGTTGCTGCCGGTCCAAAGCCCGGATAAAGAAGGATGGTTGGGCATGGGGTTAGCGACCCCATCCCGTAGAAAACTAACTCGCTAAAAAAACGCTAACCAGAAAAAATTATCCAAAGAGTTCGACTACTATTCATCTATTTCTTCTAGACTAAAAAAATTCCACTACTTCTTTTAATATTTCAACAATCCAATTTAAATCGATGAAAGAAAAAGAAAATGGGTAGTGCTTCCGCCTGAATAATTTTATTCGTCAGTCTTTTTTTTGTTAACTACTCTATTGAATCTATTCACGTGAAAACTTAAGTGAAATGTATACATTATCAAACTAACTGGAAATATTAACTAAATTATTAACCGACTGTCAAAATGAATGGGGCCAACGAAATATGAGAATAAAAAATCACTCTAAACACTTGAGTAAACAATTGAAAAACAAGTTTTTAACGAAAAATTGTTTAGTTATTCATACTTCATTCCACCCTCCCCCTCTAAAAAAATAATCAAAACTGTCACCAATTTATTTCAGTGATTAAGAAACGAGATTTAGAATATATTTTATATAGGGAAAATAAGAATTTTATTTCAGCAATAGGTTGATATGTTCCTGAGGTTTTCTATTATAGAAGCTGTATAGTTTGATTAGACACCATTAAAAAGAATCAGCTAAGAAAAGTATTTATAATTTGATCAGAAGCATTCTTAATAACAGGAAATTTACATCAGAAATATGACCAAACAACAAACTATCGTCGCTGAAGGTTTCGATCATCATAACTAATAAAGAAAACTTAAAACACAAACAAATCGGAAGTCAACATGTGCAATTCGAGTTATTAATTAAAGCAATTACAATATATTTACCGATACATTAAGATACGTATAAATGTGACACTAGTGATAATATCTAGGTAAAGTGTAATGACCGTCCAAACCTAATGGTCTTGATATTAAATATGCAAGGAAATTGATTTTTAACTCATTGATATCCTTGATGTGTTAAGTAGCTTGAGATAAACTTGTAAAAGCACCAAGAGTTCGATTATTTGTGATGTACTCTTGTTAGACCATTCTAATAACTTGGATAATTAATCTGTTATACAGATGCTGATTTACTGCCGCAGGCGCTCAATTTTCAGTTAATCAATGAGAAAAAAAAGAAGGTAGTATTACAAAACTTTAACCAAAAATATTACGTAATTAAACACATAGATCATAATGTACAATAATGAAGAGAATACAATCTGTCAGAAATAGGGAGTTTAAAATTAGAATGGGAATATTAGACTCATGATTAAATTACACTAACTTTTAAACGGAAAAAGATTGTAGAAAAATCCATGAATCATACCAGATATTGTGATTAGGAAAATATGAAAATCATATAATATGCTAACTAAAAATAAATAAACATTAATAAAGGAAGGGGTGATCATTTATTGAAAAGTGAATTACAATGTTTTTTGTTGTTGTCTAATATGTTCACGTTATAAAGAATGGAATTAAAACTTCACTTTTTTAACCATCTAGTTTACAGAACAGAAATCATGCTTTTCAAAAGACAAATCTTTTTATCATTACAACTCGATGTATATCAAATCAAAGAAAACCTTTCAATAATATTCGACGGTAATTCTCAAAACGTTGGCATAAAGTAACTCATACAATCATAATGTTCAATGACAAAGTTAGGTTACATCTTTTCAAGTTTTTTTCATTTTCTATGCCAACAGCAAAACACTTAAATACTAGCCTTGATTCAATACATCATAATTTCACTCTACTGGATGACGATAATTTCAGTAGTTTGACTATATTATCAAAATTTGCAAACTAGATATAAATAAATGCTGTGGTGCATGTTACTGATTTCGACAGATATAAGTAATATGTATCACTAATCGAAAGTGGAATACTTGGAGGCAGAAGTTTGAGAAAATCGAAAAGAAGAGAATGGAAATGAAGAGTGATTTGTATGTAGATAAAAGAACAACAAAGTCTGAGACAATTGATGAATATTTTGCAAATGAAATATTACTGAATATTTCTCAGATTTTACTAAGAGAACCTGTATGTTTGTGTTCAAATAAGTTTGGTTTTCCCCATTTGTGTGTGTTCACTATAAAGCTAGTAGACTTGATTCGAAATGGTAGGAAACTTCTCCATCATATTCATCTTAATTACACATGATTAATAAGCAACAAAGATTTGTCCAAATGATATTTAAACTATTATTTTATTCAACTTATTCAAAAATCAGAAGGGGTTTTGTGGATTTTATATTAATTTTATTACTTGAGATCATGAGTTAATTGAAGCTAGACTACCATGTAAAACCTGCAAGCATTGGATATCTGTTTTGCCCTATTATGGAACTCCTCAGCAGTGTTCATCCACGATCCCGTCTTGCCAGATTCAAACCCATGAACTATCAGTCTCACGCGCGAACACTTAACGTCTAGACCACGGAGATGGCCGGCATTCAACGGCGTAAATGTCTAACTTCAACTAATCCACGAAATTGAGCCACATGTCTACCATTGTTTTCAGTGAGTTACTATCTCACAACAGACTAGGTTGAACTTCAGTGGTCACTGCTTCTCACTAGAACTCCATAAATTATCTCTTGAAGCTAGTCACTAGTGAGTATATGTTGATTAATGTCAGAAGGGGTTTTGTGGACTAGTACGATAAATCGAGTCAATTCATAGTCAGTAAAATCCAATCAGCAAATACGGATTACTTGATAACATTTATAAGCCAAAAAGATACTTGAAGCATAGCTAAGCTTTTTTAGGCAACATTATTTGATCAAATTTTTAGCGGTACATATTATATTGAGAATAATATAAGTTGGCTTTCAACTCAAAAAACTTGCTCAACAATGGAGAACTACAGATCATTACCAATAAACTTATACCTACTGCATAATTTATTGACTATCTGAACTTAGTAGCGTTTGAAGCCAAACGTGATCGGTTTAAGTCCGAGTGTCAACATAAACTCTGTAGTCCAGGTACGTCCAAATGACAAGTCCTAAATAAGATAAAACCTGCGTTCTAGATTCCGACAGTAGCCATAAATGAATATTCTCTCATGCTTAGTGATTCTTCTAAATAAGATGTTTGAAGAAATCCAGCTAGTATATTGAACTTGATTTACAACAGCAAAAACATTATTTGTATTAATCGAACTTTGATTACAAAAATTCACCCACTGGATAATTTTGAACAGACATGGGTGCGCGGTGAATTATTTTCTATCAATGTTTCCTTAACATTAATACTGATATTCGCATTATATTGTGCTTGTTTAGTATCCTTTAGTTAAAATAACTTCAAAGGCAGAAAACTCAATCTGTTTAATGATAACGAGAAACTTAAATGCAAAAACATTTATCTGATGAAATGACGTTAAATATTGGGATTGAATGAACTGAAATGATGGCGGTATATGATATGAATCAGATAAAATTTGATTATTTTGTAGAACTGAATTGTAAACACATTACTGCCAAACTGTATTCATTACATACTTTTAGTTCATTTCAGAAATAAAATGCTAAAAATTATGCGCAAAGGTAAATGGTAGCTAGCAGTGGAATCCAGGATGCGCATTTCGTCATATTTAAGATTCTTTAACCGGATGTACCTTCATTTTAGATTTGATGTTCACTCTAGGACTCGGATCCATTCGCTTCAAACGCCATCGTGTCATCCACTTAGCTACTAAGTTCTGATAGCCACTTACTTGTACAATGAGGTGAAGTTTAAATTCATTTGGTATTGTTTACTTGAATCTTCTCATTGATGTTTAGGACTCCAATTGATCAATCTCTTATTGGCATATGTGCATACTGTGCATATTGCTCCATCAATATTGCCCTAATTCACAAGTACTACATGCAGAGACGGATGGTGGCTAGCAGTGGGACCAAGTAAGTACACAAGATGCACATATGCGAATAAGAAACTTATCAATTGCATTCCTAAATAGCAATAGAAAAAGTCAAATGCATAATACAATAATGAATTGAAATGTATACGATTCGTAAATAAATCAAATTATGTAAGTACATAAAGGGTACGATGATGTTTATTTTCACAACTGTTGCATATCAAAAATCCATTTGTATACAAAACACTATAAATCAATTCCTTGAACGTTCAAAGAATTTTCAACTATTCGTTTTTATTTGAAATAAAAACCACAGCAAATCATATTAATAATTATTTCATTGACTCAAACATTCGTAGTAAAATCTTAACCTAATTTTAGGTTTATAACTATTGAAATCTGTGAAAAACTGGTGAATAATCTTTAGTTCAAATGATACGAAAACTTAATGAGTAATGAACAAAAGTAAAGTGGGAACTTAATTAGAAAGTCTATGGGTCAATTCGAGTTATTACTAAACATCATTCGTAGTTATTATGACTTCTTGAGGTAACTTAACACACTAAATTACAGATTCTCTTAGTAAAATCTGAGAAATATTCAGTAATATTTCATTTGCGAAATATTAATCAATTGTCTCAGATTTTGTTGTTCCTTTGTTTCCATACCAATCATTCTCTGTTCTCGTTCTCTTCTCTTTGATTTTCTCAACTTTCTGCCTTCAAGTATTCCACTTTCGATTAATGATACATACTACTTATATCTATCGACATCAGTAGCATACACCACACTAGTAGTAAAACTTGTTTATATGTTATCCCTTAGTAAATAAAATAGATAATATTATTAAATTGAAGATAATTCGTATTGATTTAAATGACAGTAACATAAACTTACTTCAATCTCACCATATTCTATTGTATCATCATGTTTCTCATTATTAGACTATTGAAATATAAAATAAATGAAAATTACTTTAACTAAACACGATGATGAACAAGTTTAACAACATAATTATCATTCATATATTTATGGTGTAGAAGAAATATCTGGAAAAAATAAACGTTTCATGGCAAAAGAATTATTGCCGAAGTACAACAACCTAATCTGTTCTACTTTGAAAATGTGATACAGAATTAATGAACGTAAATGTGATGTATAACTTCAAACTCCATTGAAACTACTACTAGACCAAGATAGAATTATATGGAAGAAAATATCAAAGCTAAATATATAGGGATTGTTTAAGCAGTTAGATGTTATCATGTACAGATGGATGTATTTTAAATATACTTGTGATTGCTTCAATCAACGTGATAGACTAACTAAACAGACTATCAATCTTTAATGTTTGTGAACTAGTTACGATCTCCTGATTGTTGACTAAATTATAATATCGAGTTCTTAAAGGTTGCTTCATTTGGCCTGATATATTTGTAGAGTTTCCTAAAGCATCAATGCAAATAGTCACTTTAAAATACTTTACTAAACATTTACTGATCATGTCAGTTTATTGATTATAATCCTTATGTAATCGAAAATGAAAGAATGAACAACAAAATAGTTAAAAAATACTATACCTGAAATAGACTTTATTAGTTATGTAGTCAAGTTTTTAAACTCCTCCTGGAGTCCCTCCCGGGGCTACTGCCGGTCACAAGCCCGGATAAAAGAGGAGGGTTGAGCATAGGGTTAGCGACCCCATCCCATGGAAAGCTAACCCGCTAAAAAAACGCTAACCAGAAAAAATTATTCAAACCATCTAAACTCTGCCCTGGGAGTAAGAAGGTCTTCAGTTAGAAGAGATATGACGCCTCATGGTGAAAGCCGAGTTCCTTCGGAAGTCGCGAGGCTGATGCCCCTTCTGACAACTAGAGCAACCATTTATTTAGGTACATGGAATGCTCGTACAATGTGGGAGACTGGAAGAGTCTTCCAAATCGCTGCACAATTAAGTTTTTAAGATATTTTTGTTGTACTACTGTAAATTATTTGCTTTTCAGCTTCAAATGATTACATTTAGACAATTATAAATATCTAACATACTGATAATGGTAAACATATCGATTTACTTAAATAATATTTGATCTGAAAAAATCAATTACCAGAAAAGTTGTTTAGAAATTTAGCTAGATCTGATCAGTCATAAAGAAATGAAGATGATATGGTTGAGATAACATTTATTCAGGTCATTTAAAGTAATAATTTAATCCTTTAACAGAATAATCAATTTATAAATTGAATATGAACCAAATAATGGAATAGAATTTCGCTTTTGAAGTAATACATAATATTTACATAAGTTTAAAAACTCTTTATATTCAATATCGTGATAAAGAAATTTAATGCTCTTTTATGCAGTATCATACAGTTATTATGCTTAATAAGTTAGATAATTAATTTCAATAGTTAAAATCATGAGTCAGTTGAAGCTAGATCACCATGGAAAAACTGGAAGCACTGGACGGTCGTTTCGTCCCAGTATGGGACTCCTCAGAAGTGCGCATCCACGATCTTGCCCCCCGCGAGACTCGAACCCAGGAACTATCAGTTGTGCGCGTGAGTACTTAACCTCTAGACAACTGAGCAGGCCGGCATCTAACGGTGTTAATGTCTAACTTCAACTAATCCACGAAATTGTTCCACCGTACATTATTGTCTTCAGTGAGCTGATATCTCACAACAGACCTGGTTGAACGCCACTGATAACGGCTTTTCATTAGAACTCCAGGAATTACCTCTTGAAGTCAGTCACTAGTGAACAGATGATTATTATCAGAAGGGGTTTTGTGGATATTTTAGTAACTTCAGTAGTTGATAAATGTAAGTTTCAGAGAACCTTGATATTTGTACTTTATCCAATTGTATTGTATAATTCTCAGGATTATTTATTAAATTATGCTAATCATCTTGGAAAAATGCAGTGTTCTCTAGATTACTTAAATTTAAGTTGTTTAGTTATATAGTTAAAGACAGTACTGTTACATCCTACCTGTCATAGAATCTCTCAGAAAAATAATCAATGTAAGAGTGAATATTTTTGTTTAGCTTACCGATCGACTTCCACGTGGTCCATTTACACGGCCTCCTTTAGATGATCTTCTGCTATTATTTAATTTATCACTATCAGAAGTATTTGACTGTTTAGTACATTTTGAATCTTGTACAGTTGATGGTGATGATTGATTAATAGATTTTTTGGGAGAATTTGATTCAAACCAATTCATAGTGTTATTATTCAATGTTAATCTACTTTCTTCAATATCTTCCTCTTGTATTTGTTGTTCATTTGTTGAATGTAGTTTATGTGAACTATGTGCAACTTGACTTATTGAACGATGATCACTTGATGGCATAGATAAATAATGCTGACGTATATGTGGACAAATTGGTGGACCTTTTGATTGACTCATTAATGCATGTTGTGCTGCATGATGATGACATAAGGCATCTGATTGATTGAAAACAAGAAAAATAAGGTGGAATTTCATTGAGCACAATGAAAATGAATAAATTAACATTTCTAGGAGGAAAAAAATTGATCGTGTAAAATTACTAACCAAAACAATAAGATAAGAATAGATAAGAATGTAAGAAAAATGGGTAGAATAAAAGAATTAAAGAGTAGGCTTAAGTAGAACTAATGAAACGGAAGTTTCAAAAAGGAATTAATTCAATCAAATTGAGTTGGCGCAATTTAAAAATAAGTTAAGAGTAGATAAACTAAAAAAATAATCTAAACTTGTGGAATAAATCGATACTGATTTGAGTAATTCAAAACTGTAAACATTATTTATTGGTATCCATAAATAAACCTTAATAGATAGTATTGTGGTGTGCGTTACTGATATCTACACAAGTAGTATATAACGGCGGTCAGGCATAGAATGTATTTCAGTACAAGGTCGATGTGTAAAGAACGGGAATGGAACGCAATTGGTTTGGAAATGCATGAACAATGAAATCTAAGACAATGGATTAATGTTTGCAACAGGAACAGTCAAGTTTGAGATGATGGATTGATATTTTGAAAATTAATGATTTACTATATGGTTCTCAGATTTTAGTGAGATGCTCTGTAATTTTGCACTGAAATACATTCGATTGTCCCCACTGGTTTTCTTGTTCACTACAGTATGAGACTCCAGATAATATCCATCATGATGTTCTACAATAACATTTGAATTTCGGACATTTTTTTAATAATCCAAGTTATAAGTTTCATTATGAGTCACCAACGAACTTCAACTTTGATATCACTGAAAAGAAACTAATGACTTTTATCTTAGAATAGGATACCTCAGAAATGTACTGTTAGGTCGGCTTTCAGAGAACTGCAACAGAGCCTCCGGAGGCCCTGAAGGAGCCAAAGAGTCTTAGCCAATCAGAGAACGATGGAGCTTTCTAGAATGCCAACGTGGCGTGCTACTATCGGTCAGTAGCATAATATGTCTTTTAGCGGATTGGCCAAAATATGATGTTGATTTAACAAATGTTAACATCTATAAATACACATGTTTTTCTGTACAAAAATGAATCTTGGAGTAAAGTACTTTTCGCATACTTTGTGCCTTCTCTCTCGTGTTCAGATCGCTGTATAGTTCTAGCTTGGGAGTTTCAAGAATAGCTTAAGAATCGAGTATAGCGTTCAAAATCGCAAGACTTATCATGTACACTCTCGAACCCAACACGAATCAAACTCTCAATATACTTAAAGTTATGTTCAGTTGTCCATTTAGATCAAAGAAGTAAATTTAAAAAATCAAGATGTTTTTAGTTTTTGTTAAAACATGTGCATGAAGTCTACTGACTAAATTAATATAAACACAATCTATGTACATTTACAAATCAGTTCACTGTATCAAAACATGTTTTTTGGAAACACTCATGAGAAAAAAGCGTCACATAGTAAAATTGTCATCCAAGCTTTACACACCATTGGTAACCCAAACACTTATATGTATATTTTATATCATTACTTCTTTTTATACATAAGGCTTTCATAACAGTGAAACTATCTAACTAAACCCTATCATTTCGTCACTTTATTTTCCTTTATTAATCGATAGTTCTGATTTAAAAAAACATTCAGTCATACAATCCATGATCGTTTGTAAATTTTATCATTCTTATCAACATTCAATAAAGTTTTCGGTGAATAAAAATATGTCACTTTTTTTTCATTTGTATAATCTACACAAAATCTAAACATTTATGAAATTGATATTTTAATTTCATGCCAAAAATTCTTTAATAAAAAAATCGTAATTTTTAAAATAATATCATTTACGTGTTCGATTAGTTCGCCCACTATTCCCAGTTGATCCTGAACCACAAGTCTTCATTAAAGATGTTGCATCTTCATCATCATCGTCATCATCAAGATATTCTTCATCATACTCTTCATCTTCATCATCTTCTTCATCTTCTATTTCTTCACCATCATCTTCACCTTCATCATCCTCATCATCACCTTGGGTATAATCTCTGTCAATAACCAAATAAAATATATGACAAACTTTATATTATATCATTTATTTCTTATTAACGGTTTATGCAACTGGTAGACTTATGAATACTGATTAATATCATGTTTAGATTAGATAGATGGGTTAGGGCTAGCAGTGTAAACCAAGACACGTGTTTTGTACTGTTTGGGACTCGTAGGCAGACTGTATCTGCAACCCAGAGTTGATGTTCACTCCGGAGCTCGAACGCATAACAGTTTGCTTATAAAATCATCGCGCTTTTCACTCAGCTACTGAACCAGATAGCCACGCATCTGTGCAACGGTTATGAGATTTAATGTAATTTAAAATAAATTGAATGATCTCGTTGTTGATATTTTTGACTGAGACTTATCAGTCCATTCGATCAATATATTCTATTTCAATTTATATGATAATGGCTGTATCAAAGCAATCCGCACAAGATGCTCATGGACCAACCAAGACTGGTCAAATTTCAGTCAAAAATATCAATAATGCCATAATCCACGCCATTTCAAATTGAATTAAATACCATATTTGTTTAGTTCTATCGATCACGTTTCAATTTGGCTACTGGTCCAAATAACTCGACATCGTCTACACGTCTTAAAAGGTGAAACAACAGAAGGGGGTTCAGGAAGTATCAGATTATGAGTATATGCTGCTGATGGTTGTCAAAAAGTACATAGCCTAGGTTCAAGGTTTTCCTGTTTACCACCTCCATCCACCCAAAATCCAAGGTATATCACAGCATAAACCACCTATATTTCTATATACATGTTCAGTATTCTAATAATTTCAATTCAATACACAATACATTGATCAAAATAAAACATCAATCCAGTTTCTAAATACAATGAAGATGAATAATAATTCTGAGGTTAGTTTTTTTCTAAATACACCATGTGAACTTCACCTTATCTCTTTTTAACAAGATTTTGTTCTCTCCTCATTGCCTAATAAATGCTTCAAAAAAAAAGAATGAATGAATTCCCTCTTTTGTAATGATTTAACTTAGAACCCATTTTCATTGCTTTACACTGAAATAAGGTCACTCTTATATGTAAAAAAAAGAGAAGTATTGAGGTCGTTAAGAATAGACAGTTATATACTTTAGTCATATTTCTTTGTTATAATCTCTCATTTTTTTTCACCTCTTTTTCTTTCTTTTACGTGAAACAAATATCTACTTAGTTGAATCATGCTTTTTATTTGTGGGTTAAAACAAAAGGCTTTCATTATTTAATAAGGAGAAACAAACATAATGATAAACAATGCAAGTAGGTTCGAATGGTTTTTTTTTGTGTGACTTATTTCTTATAGTTAAAAGTTTTGAATTATATACACATATATAAACATAAGAATTAGATAAAAACTGATTGGATTCAGACTCAAAAAAAGAACCATCCACGATTTTGTGGATCAGTTCATTACACGTTAGTGACTTGTTAAATGATTCTCCTCTTTAAATTTTCAATTCGAAGCTTTAACCAATACAACTGATAAGGTTAGAACTGCAAGCACGAGAAAATCAGGCTGACTTCAGACCTGGTCGTGCCTGTATCGACTACATATTCACCATTCATCAGGTTCTAGAACATAGGCATACTTATCGGCGTCCGACAATGGTGGTCTTCCTTGATTTAAAAGCAGCATTTGACTCCGTAGACCGAGAGATTCTGTGGCAGTGTCTGTCATTGGAAGGCGTACCACAGAAGTACATAAACCTTGTGAAGGCTCTCTACTCAAACACTACTAGTTGAGTTAGAGCTTATGGCGAACTGTCATCTGCTTTTGCAACCTCAAGTGGTGCACGTCAAAGCTGCCCACTTTCATCATTTTTGTTCAACTTCATCATAGATATACCGATGGAAATAACGCTCTCATCGACTGAATCCTCAGGTATTGATCTCCTACCAGGAGGTCCACTTATTGACTTAGAATACGCAGATGACATAGTCCTGTTTGGTGAAGACGCTGATGAAATGCAGAGTCTTTTGGTAGCACTGAGCAACAATGCCAGAATGTTTGGGATGCGCTTCTCTCCTTCTAAATGCAAGTTGTTGCTTCAAGACTGGTCTGCGTCAACACCTAAACTAAGGATAGGAAGTGAAGTAGTCGAACGCGTTGACAACTTCACTTATCTTGGAAGTCTGATCAGCCCTAATGGGTCGGTGTCTGACGAAATCTCATCAAGGATTCGAAAAGCTCGTTTAGCGAAGGCAAGATATCCGTCTATCAAGTAAGGGACGAGTATACTGCGCGATAGTTCGTTCTGTTCTACTTTATGGCTGCGAAACATGGTCATTAAGAGTAGAAGATACTCGTAAGCTACTACTTTTGACCACAAATGTCTTATAAATATTGCTCGCATCTGCTGGGATCACCGGGTATGTAATAGAGACGTTATATGCAGCGTATTAGGGAATGATGAGAAATCAGTTGATGAGCTTGTGAGTCTTCATCGACTGAGATGGTTGGGCTACGTGCTGAGTATGCCTGAACACGGATTACCACGACGCACAATGCTGACTAGTGTTGGGGATGATTGTAAGAAAGTTAGGGGTGGCCAAATCAAAACGTGGCATCAGTTCATGAAGCCACTAAATTCTGGTCTGAGTCATGTTGGTAGATGTAGACTACTTGTTTGGGGTCCGCGTGGCTATTGTAACCAGTGTTTGGAGACTCTTGTTGAAATAGCTCAGAATCGATCACAATGGCGTCAGCGTATACACTAACTAATTCATTCTTCCTGTACTATATCCTTATATGCAATCTTTCTTTTATGTATTACCACAATTGAATTAACTACTCCTATGAATCCGGTGTTCATCTTGCTGTGCTAATGCGGTATGGCAACTTGGACCGATGCATGGTCCTACGTTGTAGCTGACTGATTGACTGACTGATAAGGTTAGAAGTAAAAATCATTGTTAAATGAATTCAATAAATTTTGTACTTATAATTTAGTGTAATCCTTGAGAAATTGAAAGATACTGAATTTTGTTAAAACAAAAATGATAAATTATATTCCATTTAACTGAAGATAATTTGAATCAAACTTGTGAATTTACTATTGCAATGATGAATTACTAAAAATCTCTTTCTGAGCATTAATATACCCATGATTGAACAAAAATGTCAAAATGTCGCATTTTTTAGGGCTCTGATATCGTTGGGCTTCGAATTTTCTAGAACATGCTCAGAAATGCTAACATGCATTATTCTCTTTGTTCTTTTAATGTATGTGATTTGACACATTCTTTGGTGAATTATGCCTAAAGATTATAGGTTAAGCATTTTACTGGATTGTATTTTAATATCACTAAAGAGTTTTAGTGATTTTTATCTTTTTGATTGTTTCACAGTTTATATTAGTACATAATAAAAAGCATATTGAAATATACGCCTTTACATTTGTCTTTATTCCTCAAATGATCGATTTACATTTCGTGAAGTATTACCTTTATTAGTCATTACTGATATGAGAGGATGAGAAAGCAATATGAAAATTAATCAGTATAACGTTAAAAATGTGTCTTTGAATTGTCTCCTACAGGCTCAATCGTTCTTCCATTAGTATTGCTACTTGAACTACTTTTTTTTCTCTACTCCTCATGTTCCTTTTGTATCAGTAAGAATCCTACTTTTACTTCCTGATACACACTACCCATGTCTGACCGCATGAATAGCACACATTACAATACTATTCAGTAAAAATTATATAAATCTGAGTGTTAATCTGATAGTAAATAGATCACGTAAAGAATAGTGTCATTTTAATTTCTTTACGAGGTCAGTAAATCTGTATCAACAGTCTTTGTGTTTAAACTAGGCGTTGTTTAGATTCGGGTTTTTCAGTACCAATCTCAACTCAGTTAAACATTCCACAGATATAACATCTTAGAAATAATAATGAGTATAAATTATCAAATTATCCAATCTCTCTTCCATATAAGTTAAAAGCAATTTATATTAATATTACAATTTTTGTTTTCCAAAGACTGATTAATGACAAAACTGTACTCGCATTTGTTAGTTAAATTAAAATATAACTAATAATGACTAGTTAACAGATTAATAGCAAACCTTATACTCTTATTTCCTATGACTAGTATATTTAGTTTATGTTTATGCAAATATAGTTTTCAGTATAGGGGTTTAAGAGATTATTAAGTTTTTTAATTGAGATTATGAACCGATTGATGTTAGACCACCGCTGGAAACCTGACCGTCCAGTGCTTCCAGGTTTCCAACTGTGGTCTAACATCAATCGATTCATGATCTCAATCAAAAATATAGTTTTTCCTAAGATTTAGTCATACGTGTAGCTTATATGCACTGAATCAAGATGTATAATGAAAGTTATTCAATATTTATTATCTATATCATAATTTTGAATTCATTGCATCCGGAAGATTAATTTTAAAAAAACCTTACATAAATATAATCAAGATTATGGGTTATATGATTGATCGCGTTCCGTCATGCATTAATCAATCTTTAAAACATAATTGATGTATTATATCTAATAAGTGTAAAAAGAATATTGAATAACGTCATGATATCACTAAGCGACAAACCATTTATCACTGAAATGATTATTAGTTAATGATTAATGACCATTATATATACTTTTTTTTTCGTTTTGAAATCTACCATGTGATAGTTTGATTACAAGTTTTAACTCAAAAGTGGAGTAAAAGTGATTGAGATAGTTTACTTTTAATGCAAAAGGAAATAAATGAATTTAAACTATTAAAAACGTTATTATCTTAACAAGTCTTATGAGTTTCATAACTGTATAGGAGGTGGTTAAGATCGGTTGCGAATACAATCAAGGTTTTTCCTAAGCATACACACACATTAGGGTATTGACAGTTTAGCTATACAAGATAATATTAGAGGGTAAGCCTTATCATTTACATATGATTTATAATTTTCATTTAAAAATAGTTCACTCTACACCTGGAGCATATGATCGAAGAGCTCTCTTCTCTTTAAAAACGAACGACTGTTCCATAAAAGATGAGATAAAAGTATGAGTACTTGTACAAACAATAACGAATCCTACTATTCTTTGAATAGTGTTTGCAAGTCTATGAAGATTTGTGTTACAATGAAATCACCATGACTAAGTTTGTCGTGATTAATAAACTGAGTTTGATCGATCTTGGAGATTAGTTACATTGGTCTGGCTGAAACTGAGAAAAGATTGTAGGGTCATAGTTCTGTGGTGATGAAGAGTTGTATATTAGGAAGAAATAAAATTCTAGTGTGTTATGTTTTCCATATATTATCAGTTAGAGAGACGGTTATAATGAATACACATCCTGAAACAAATATCACTTAACCGAATTTTTTATACCGAATCAACACAACGAGAATATTAAAGGCCTAGAAGTCATTATCTAACTAATGACAGTGAGAAAAGCTAAACATTGAGAATATAATTCGAAGATACGAAGTGGAAAAGTATGGATGAAGAGATGCCTATAGTACTATGAATAGTAAGTTCAGCTACTTTATCGTCACCGATGTTGAACTTTATAACCCAAAGTTACCAACCATCAATCAAGTTTATTGTATATACCTTAAATGGGTGGTCTGGATCTACTAAGATGCCCAGCGTCAATAAATAACAAAAACCACCTTCAGAAAATATTAATCTTAACAACATAATTATATAACTTAGTAGTTTAGGAATTATTGAAGTCTAATGCACTGGGTATGAACTTAGTAGGATCTAATCCGTGTTTCTAGGCAGGCTTTAACTTGGAATCCAGAAGGGTAAACGAAGAAAGTCGGACAAAAAACACATTGCACCGGGAATCGGAGGCATAAATCAACAGAATGAACAGTTCTTAGGAATAACTGGAAAGGAGAGACCAGGAAAAAGTTGGGTGAAGTATCGTAGTCAATGGCCTATGCTCCACGAAGGATGAAAGGTGAAAATAAAGGAATTGAATAAATTCGTGTTTCCCCTCAGAATATATTCTTTGCAAGTGAATATAATTTAAAACAACTATAACTCCATGTGATTAAAAGCTGCATTGAAATTATTGTATAAAATGTTAAAGTAAAGTTTCAGTGAAACGAACAAATAAAAAATCACAATTAACTAAATAAGTAGTTGAAATATATATCGGTACATACATAGACTTACGCTCTGACAAGTAACTCTGTTTCTTCAGAAACTTGACTAATGATAGCTTGTACTTCTTCAAATGTCTTACCGACTAAAGGAATTGAATTCCATTCAAGTATTTCATCACCTATATGAATAGATATAATATGAAACAAAATTCAATCTGCATTGAATCATCTCTTCAATCAAGTAAATGAATAGATTTGAAACGAAAGTCTGATAAACAATTTCATAGATTATTCATTATTTTAAATGAAAAGCATATTATTGCTTGAAGTTAAAGGATCTACCAGTATAACGAGAAGCAGAACTTGTAAATAAAATGTAACGACCATCTATTAATGCTCAATTTGCAAAATGTCCATCAATTGTCTTAAAATGACTCAGACTTCATTGTTCGTGCATTTTCATACAACTTGCATTCTGTCTTCATTCTTTCATGTTCGATCTTCTTGCCTCTCTGTTGCCGGACATTCTGTTCACGAATAACATCATATACTACTTATGTCTACATAAGTAGTATATTACGCGAGTTAGGAACGTAATGTTTGGCAGCAGAAGATGTGGGAAGATCAAGAAAGGAAGAGCGGGAACACAATGCAATTTGTATGAAAACGCATGAACAATGAAATCTAAGACAATGGATTAATGTTTGCAACAGAAACAGTCAAATTTCACATGATGGATTGATATTTTGCAAATTAACGATTTACTATATGGTTCTCAGATTTTAGTGAAATGCTCTGTAATTTTGTACTGAAATACATTCAATTGTCCCCATCTGTGTTCTGTTCACTACAGTAGTAGTGGTATGCTAATGGTTCTCATTCATCTAACAGATATTATTTCAAAATTTATTTACAATCATTCAAAGATCAAAGATGTTTTAGATTCATAACTATTATCGATAATAATCAGAGAAGGGTTTTTGTGGACATTATAGTAATTTAATAGTTGAATTCATGATTCAATTGAAGCTAGACAACCATGGAAAACCTAGAAGCACTGGATGGCCGTTTTGTCTTATTGTGGGACTCTTCAATATTGCGCATCTACTATCCCGCCTCACGAGATTCGAATCCAGGACCTATCAGTCTCACGTGAGACTTATCGCGATCGTAGATGCGCACTGCTGAAGAGTTCAGTGGTTCCATGTTTTCCATGAAAGTCTAGCTTCAATTGACTCATGAATTCAACTATTAAATTATTATTGATAAGTTTATTTAGTGTAGAAATGAACAAGGTTCATTTAATGGGAAATATTTAATATAAGAAAAAAGACTTATTATTTTGTGTTCAATATATAATGATATAGAATAAAATCTTAGATTTGATAAACTTTGAAATTTTCTTAAATTAGTAAATAGAGACTTAATTTTATAAGTTTTCATCTAATAACTTTCAACAATCTGATATCAAATAATCATATCATTTACTGATCACATTGTACTTTTTTAATGCCTAGAACTCAAAACAACTGTCAACTAATATCAAAGTCACAATCTTCAATATGAATGTCAAGACAGTTCTACCGTACAGAGCTGGAACTTCGAATACTATCACAACCATCATCAAAACAGTACAAGTATTCGTAAACAACTGTCTACGCAAGATACTGAATGTCCATTGGCCGGATATTATCAACAACAGCCTACTGTGGGAGAGAACAAACCAGATTTCAAATGGCGAGGAAATTAGGAAGATACTGGAAGTCGATAGGTTATACATTGAGGAAATCATCAAACTGTATCACGAAGAAAGCGCTAACATGGAATCCTGAAGGGAAACGGAAAAGAGGAAGCCCAAAGAACACACAATGTCGTGAGTTAGAAGTAGGCATCAAAAGGATAGGTTGCAACTGGAAACAACTGTAGAATATTGTCCAGGACAGAGTTGCATGGAGAATGTTGGTGGTTGGAGTATGCTTCCCTTCGAGGGTTAACAGGCGTAAGTATGTAGTTTAAATCTTCCGAATGCCTAAAACTCGAGTATTCAGATCTGTAATTGCTATTGATCAACTTTCGAGCCGTGAGCTATTATTTAGCTGTTAGAATTATGTCCCTTTTAAATTTAAACTCTAAGTATAACTATTCAAGGAGGTTAGGTTATTCCCAGTTGATCACGGACGTAGATCGATGGGTAAAGTTACTTAGTCAAAGCGATGTCTGCCACTATACCAACATCAATATAACTGTATAGATTTTAACAAGGTATATTTGGGATGAGTATAAACTACATTACTTAAATAATGACTTATTGCTTCTATCATTTAGCTGTCAACAGGTTACTAGCTTCAAACTCACACCACGTAATTTAATTGGCCAGTTATTATCAGTAACTTTCATACAAATATTGTAGCTCAACATAGAGCAACTCAATCTGTTTTCATCACGTACTGACCCTAGTAAGGTAATTGCTGAAAACCAAAAAGTTCTGAATAGTCATTTCATCTTAATATGAGACTCTTCAGCAGTGTGTACCGATGACTCGATAAAAAATAGGACCTAAGACCTTGATAATAAGTAACCATCTTCCAATGATATAAGACTTGAAGGTCCTGGGTCCAGTCCTAAGATGGTTTGTAGATGAGGACTATTGATAAGTCTCATAACTACATAAAACAACTATCCAATACTTTTTGATTTTTATTGATTTTCTAACAAAAGCCAGTCCGTGATCTAAGTTAAAAGCTCAATAATCTCCACAAATCTACTTCACTAAAAAAATGTAAATCAACAAATGTGTTTCTATTAGAAGGGGTTTTGTGGAGATTTTGGTAATTTCAATAGTTGAAATCATGAATCGATTGGAGCTAGACCACTATGGAAAACCTAGAAGCACTGGATGGTTGTTTCGTCCTAGTATGGGACTCCTCAACCGGGTCTATTATAAAACATCAGCTCACTGAAGGCAATGGTGAATATGTCGCTCAATTTCGTGGATTAGTTGAAGTTAGATATTAACACCATTGGATGCCGGCTGGCTCAGTGGTCCAGAAGTTTAAGCGTTCGCGCGCGAGGTCAAAGGCCCTGGGTTCGAGCGGGATCGTGGATGCGCGCTGCTGAGAAATCCCACAATAAGACGAAATGGCCGTCCAGTGCTTCCAGGTTTTCAATGATGGTCTAACATCAATCGGTTCATGATCTCAATCAAAGTAAATGTAATTTTTAGTGTTGAAGTACGATTTTAGCCATCAGTTTATTTCATTTTTCTTTACTTCAATCTTTATTAAAATTATCATTGAATTTGCATAATGTACCAATAAGATGAATATTATTAAAACTATATGATGAAAATAGTTTTATTTTATCCTAAACTCACCCTTGTAATATTGTTTTATTATTCAGAGTGATGAGTTTCATATTGTTTTTCATATTATTTTTCTTAATTATTTTTGTTCCCTCTTACATTTCATTAATCAAGTTGATATTCTCAATTTTTTTCATACATAAGTGTTCTTAACAAGTCTATTTATGCGTGGTCTGATTATTCGAAATATACTGCACCAAATTATCATATCGTTGTGATAATCTTCATCTTTTTATTATACTATACAAATTTATCATAAAAGGATTATCCGTATTGGGGTTGTGGAGATTATTAAGTTTTTGATTGAGATCACGAACCGACTGATGTTAGACCACCGTTGGAAACCTGGAAGCACTGGACGGATTAATCAGACTTCAATCAATAGGAATATTAAAACTGATCAACTCTGTCATCCAGTGAGAAAAATGATTAACAATTACAATGTCAGAGTTCAGGACATGAGAGAAAACAACCGAAACAGATATATAGGAAAAGACCATACGATTATGAATAACAATCAACTGAATATCAGGTCAACAGAATAAACAGTTGATCAATTGTCGAGAAATTCTAATAGCTTACTCCACTTTGAAGTAATGATAATGTTGTTCAGAAGATTAATAAAAGCTTTACAATCAATCTATCTAGCTCAGAATCCACCACACCAAAATTCTCATACTGTATTATAAATATTTATCATCATCTTATAATTCCCTGTTGCCTTCAATGATTTTATGACTATTGTCAGTCAGTGATGTAATGTTACAACTGTGATGCTAAAACCCCATCAATTTTAATAAAAAAATTCTATCATTATTTTGAATGAAGAGAAATATTTGCTTATATTGCACTTCCTACTACATTCAAATTGTTCAATACTTAATTTTAAAAATACGTTATATAAACAAATAGACATGAATGCGAAATCTCGAGTAAAGTGAGTATAGTATTTAAGTGATGGCAAGAACTAAAAAAATTAAATTCTAAATTCAACTAAAAAACTGAGCGAACAAGAATACAACAAATTGAACTAAGAGATAATCAAACTAATGTGATCTAGACAGTAATGCACAAAAGATGTATTTGTCACGTTTGGGCTACGTTTTGAGAGTGAAGTTCCTGAAGTCGACTGTCATCTGTGGGGTCGTGTATATGCACTGTTGAAAGGTTGTATACTAAAATAAAACGGCTTTTTAGTTCTCCCAGGCTTTCAACAGTTGTATAACATGTCTCTGTTAGTGATTTCAATGAAATTTAATAATCTCCACAACCCCATACTGACAATACAACCAAACGTTTTATGCTTCGTAGATGAACTATTATAAGATAATATAGATCAATGTTCTTACTTGAAATGTTGAAAAAAAATCACAATTTCCTTCTACATTTAGTTGAGCAATTTAGTAAAGAATATTTCCTAGACAAAACAGATCATGCCACTAGATTAAATTTTAAAATCTTGTTTCAGTATGTACCTGTCACAGCTTACTCATTCCTTTCGCACACAAAAAAAAACAAACGGAAAGTCCTTCTACGTTTTAGCTGTTCCATTAGATTGGATGACTATATTTTCTAAACGGACTGACTGTATCAAATAATAAATATGAAAACGTCGAATAACTTAGTTTCTTTACCATGAATCTTGCATCTAACTGAAAATGATTATAAATCCATACATTTAAGGATTCCAACATAATGTATCTGTATCGAGAAATGATGAGTATCTATCGTTAAACAATGATTCACAAATAACTTTTGCATACCCTATAGAAAATATTTCAATTTCATTACTTCCTCTTTTAACTTTACGACAAAAGTAGATAATCGATAGATAAATGAAGCAAATAAACAATTCTAAATTTATACATGCAAATTACCTTCTTTTATCTCTCCATGAAGTTGATCAGCTGGACCACATGGATAAATTTCTTCAACAAATGCTCCTAAATTACCGTCTGATCGAATATGTCCACCAACTATGCGCATACCAATCCCGCCCCCTGTGAAATGTTACAAAGGGAAAAGAATATGCTCAACTGATGCTCAACAGTTTCCAATTAACTTCGTATTCCTATTTAAACACCAACCTGATCGAGCTCCATCATCACCGTCACTACAATATCAGTACACTGAATGTTCTTTTAAAAAAACTGAACCCATTATACTATTTTTTTCTAGCTTACTAAAGTTTTAAAAAGTCACAATGCCCCTCATAAAACGATGCGAATAAACAAACAAGATTTTCTAGATCTCAGAATGCTTCATATACCTCGAATAGGTAAGATATACCATTTACCATAAAATGGTTCATTTATGTCATCTATTCACGCTATAGTAAGACTACATTTTGTATATTAATGATAAATATATTCTTGTTCTGTGTATTATTATCGCGAAGTGTATACAACCAGTCATGTTTTACTGTCAAATCATTGCATTTATCAGTATAATGGTTGTTGAGATTATCAAGTTTTTGATTGAGATTATGAACCGATTGGTGAGAGGCCACCATGGAAAACCGGAAAGTACTGAATGGCCGTTTCATTTTATTGTGGGACTACTCAGCAGTGCGCATCCAGGATCCTGCCCCCCCCCCGAGAAATTCGAACCCAGGAACTATCGGTTTTGCGCGCGAACGCTTAACGTTTAGACCACTGTGCCAGCTGGCATCCAACAGTGTTAATGTCTAACTTCAACTAATCCACGGAATCGAGCGACACACCCACCATTGTCTTCAGTGAGTTACTATCCCACAATAGGACGAAACAGCCATCCAGTGCTTCTAGGTTTTCCATCGTGGTCTAGCTTCAATCGACTCATGATCTCAACTATTAAAATATGGAACTCTTCAATTGTCTGTTTAATCTAACAAATATGAGAATACCTAATATAAACATGAATATTCATGCGGAAATGTTAATAAAAGTAATTATACTGGTAATAATTGGTAGAAACATTGTTTTTTTCTCAAATGCACATCAATCAGTAAAGATATTAAATGATCAACAGTTCTATAGTCGTTTGTAAGTTTCAGAAATATTATCTCTTTCGGAAAAGGTAGTTTATTGACGTTTTATAACATTGAATTATGCACTGAATGAGAATTGACACATACTAATTATCCATTTCCTGTTGAATTAAAATAAATGACCAATAGTATATTGAACCAGTAATCTGCAGTCTAGTCTACATGAATAAAATGTTAAAGATAATTGGACTGAATATTCTTGAAAATTGAATTACAATTGTAAGATGGTGGAGATTTGTAGCTCAATTGGATGATTTAGGTGGAGTTTTGTTCTCTGAGCTGGATGGTTCGGTCATGGAGCTCTCATTGTTCTTCTGAACAACATCCTCACCACAAACTTCAGTTAGAAGTGAAGTGTTCGAATTTCTCCACATATGACTCACAGCTTGTCCTGTAGACGTCGATCTTGATTGGCTATTGTTGACCTTTAATCCGTTATTGTCTACTTCTTTATAATGATTGTGTTTCCCATTGATTTGATTTTTGGTCCTATGTTTGTCCTGACATGGGTGCCTAGCTTCGGAAAATTCTCTGGTGTTTTTGGAATCGCCTCTATCCAATATCTCACCATTTTCTCAGTTGACTGTGTTAAGTAAGCAATGGCAGGTTATAGGTCAACAGATGTTCTAGGAATTTGTACATTCGGGCTCGTGAGCACCTTCCTGTGTGGTTAAGCAAAGGTGTAGTCAAAACTGTTAACAGCTCCATCTTAGATCATCTAGTTCAGAGAGAACATACAGCCAACATGGGGCAATCTTTTGCAATAATCTATCATGTTAACAGCAGTCTACCCAATTCCGTCAGACTGCGAATCCTACGGACGGCTGAATCAATTGCTATTCAGATCAAAAAGCCAGAGCTGTGCATCCAAAAGAAGTATGTTCAGCCACTTCTTTTACTCTGGTCAACTTTGGGGTCAACAAGTTAATCAATTTTATAATATGGTGACGTAATTTGATTAATGTTCATTTTATGTCCCAAACATTATTATTATTATCATTATTATCTTTGCGACTGTGATTATCATTGTTATTATTATTATTATCACACTTGATAACCTTCTTGAGGAATTAATTCAATATCCACCCATTTTGATGGAGTTTTGTTCTCTGAGCTGGATGGTTTGGTCGTGGAGCTTTCATCGTTCTTCTGAACGACATCATCAGCACAAACTTCAGATAGAAGTGAAGTGTTCGAATTTCTCCATATGCGTTTCACAGCTTGTTCTGTGCACCTCGATGTTGATTGGTTCTTATTGACCTTAAATTTGTCATTGTTTACCTTTTTGTCTTGGTTTTGTCTCCTATTGGTTTGATTCTTGTTCCTATATTTGTGCATAAGTTTCCTGATTGGTTGATAAATCGGATCGATTTCAATATGTTTGTTGATTGCTGATTGACCTGAGTGCCAGGCTTCTAAAAATTCTCTTGTGTTTTTAGAATTTCCTCTGTCCACGATTTCCACATTTTTCCAATCGAATGTGTGTCCGCAGTTGTCCACGTGTACACGTGAATCAAAATCATCCACCTGAGCTATAAATCTTCTCCACCATCTCAATATCCAACCATAAATCTACTATATCTGACCTAATTCATATTATTTTACATATTACGTAATTTCCGGTTTTTATTCCATTATTTTCTCTCTCAACCCATGTTGACCATATTTATTCTGATCATTTATCGCACAATTTCATTTCGCTTATAAAATGATTCAAGTTAACACTTTATATTAGTCAGCTTCAACATTAACGATCTGATTTGATTTTATATATGACAAACAACAATTCTTGATTCACATATTACAATTTCCAAATGATGTACTCTGCCTTAAATCTGGCCAATTTTATGGATTATTAATTTAGATTTATAATTGTAGAGTACCTGATGAGAAATTCATTGAAATGAATATTCTTCGTTCATACAATTGTGTTTTAATATAAGAAATCATTGGTCTAAATCAAAGCCATTATGAAAATGAAATTACAATGTGAAATGGATTTTAAGTACAATTTAAATGATAATTACTAGTCTAATATTTGAACGAAGAATATTCTTTTTGATAAATTCTCTTTAGGTTCTACAATTATATATCCAAATTAATAATCCGAAATTTACATTTTCGTGCTCGTGAACGCCTTCCAGCGTGACTAAACAAAGGTTTGATGAAGAAAGTGAACAGCTAGATATTGGCCCATTTTGTACAAACTGGTCAGTGACAGTACAAATCAGTAATTTTTTGTAAAAGCTTGTCAGACTTAAAGTCCTTCAAATGGCTGAAGCAGTAGCCATCCGGATGAAGAAACCAGAGCTAAGCGTACAGAATAAATATCTTCAACCACTCCTCTGGCCAATTAATCGGTAGTTATCTTAGCTATTGAATGACCGAATTGGACTAATGTAATTGTCTCTGTCATCGTTATTCACAAATCTTTGTATTATCATTATTATTATTGGTTAAACATCATTATTAATCTCCCCTATACATGATTCATTCACTTCGCATTCATCCCTCCTTATTACGTTTTACTTATTTTTCACACAATATAGCCTTCCACTAAACATTTGATCGAATTGTAATTGCACTATTATTTCTCTCACTCTATCTGACCCATATTTATTCTGATCATGGATCTTAAATTTCACTTAACATATACGCAGATCAAGTTAACATTCTATCTGAGTCATATCAACATTAACATTGAAGAGAACTTATCAAAAAGAATATTCTTTGTTCAATTATTAGTCTTTTAATATGATGCAGATCTTTAAACGATAATTACTCGATCTATTTAATAATAAATAACAATTTGTATTCAATACTAAAATAATTCAATAATGTTATCACTTACCTCTTTGATGTCTATCCTTAGATTCACGCATTAATAATAGTCGTTTGGTTGGAAAATCATATGTACATTTTGTAGGTTGTATTACTGATCTAGGCTTCTGTAATAAAATAAATCGTAAAGTTCCCTATTTTTAATATATATATATATATATATATATATATATATATATATATATATATATATATATATATTAAAAAAGCAAATAATTTAATCATCTGCAAAGATGACATTGTAGTGTCGGTTACTATGTTAAGCCCATATAACTTATTCTAGCTTATTAACAGGTCAAGTTATCCATTCTTCTTGAGTCGCATTTCGACCTTATCAATCTTGACTGTGTTTATATGAGAGTATGTGTAAGTACACTTATTATTCATCACATGTCTCTGTGCTTTCTTCTCTTTGCTTCGTTCCTCTGATTATCTGTCCAGATCATTGAGTGTACAAAATGTATGTACTCAAAAATCCATTGTCATATTTAACTTATTTCATTCTGTTATTCACTGACGCAAGTTAAGTCTATAATTTTATACGAGAATAGTCAGAATGTATATTTCAGTAATAAAACATACGATATAACTGGAGATATCAGGCTACTAAAGTGAAAAGACCATCGATAACATCGTCCGATCTAATTGATGTCAAAATAAAGGGCCCCACCAAAACCATCCATCTATGTAGCTTCAAAGACTTATCAAAATAGTTCAAGTTTGAATAAAGCAAACTTTCACATTATTTATTAATACAGCAAAACACACACTTCAACTACAATAACTTCTCTAATTATTCAGTTCAAAATAAATATCGGGTATATAATTAATATAAGAAAATGTTCATTTTATAGTGAGTTTATTTATTCTCATGTAGATCAGAATTGTATAACTACTACTACCACTACTACAACAACAACGACTATTACTATTATTACTACTATTACTATTGCTACTACTACTACCATGTTAATAAGTAAATGATTTCTCATATTTAATAGTTTTGTTCAGTCTTCAATTCAGCAGATGAGAGTGGCTAAAGGGCATTTCGTATTATCCAAAGTTATTTTAATCTGCTAGAATTGAGCAAAACAGAAGCCAATCAAATATTATTTTTTTAACTCAAAAAGGAAGTTCGATAAATGTTTTTTGCAAAATAATCCTTATGTGTTATAATTCATATGTCAATCATAATGAGATTGTGATCAAACAAGTGGGAAAAGCTAAATATTTGGTCATTCAGAAGTGAAGGATACGATGCAGAACAATTTGGCAAAAATAACATAAAATAACTTAAGATTTCTAGTTTAACAGCTATAGAATTAGTCCGTTAATCCATTGACTATTGGTCACAAATGTATAGAATAATAAATGCAACTTAACTTACTAAATCAAAATATCAGGTTTCGTAAGTGATATAACCCTAAATGTATAATAATGATGTCGATAATCTCAATTTTTATATTTATCAAAACTTCGTATTATCGCGTGTATGTTCACTTCAACGCCAATGCACATTCACTCCTGTTTTATATTTTGGTGTCCAAATACTGGTGAATCTTTTGCTGGAGGCATCTGTCACTATTTTAGTCTTTTTATCCAGTGCTTTAAATAAGTTTCTGTAACACCTTTCATAACTATCTCTGCTGTTACTACGATTTTATTAAAAGAGTAAATTCATAGAAACTCTGGTATACTGAAAGCTAGTTTAATTACAATCATATATTGATCTAACAGGGTTCTTGGTTAGAGCCAGAATAGAGTCTAGTCATTCTAAAAACCAATGTAAAATTACCTTCTTACAGAGTATACTTATAATTGTATGAGACTTGACAATAGTCTAAGCAATCAATTGAATAAATGAATTCACTATCTTCAATTCCACTAGTAAAACGTTTACATGAACTCTTGACTAATCTCTTTTCTTATAGAATAGGTGGTCAAGATAAGAATCCAGAACGATTGTTTACTCTTGTTTGAAACATGTCAGCTGGATGTACCTGAACCAATGGTTATTCTGTGACAATCACCACTGGATTCATATATCCTACTTAAAATTCAATCGAAATATAAACATTGTAATAATCCAAAGTATTACAAATTGAATTATAATCCTTTTTTATTGTTCACAGTTAATAAACTAATTTTATCCTAAGGATTATGTACACAGTTTATTAGAATTTATAATATATGGGCGAATGCTGTTATCACACAGACAAATACCCACACACACTCACTATAGTATGGAATAAAAAACAAGAATATTATCAGTACTTCTGTTCATATTGTTCTGATAATTATCTTAATTATTATTTCTCATTATTATTGTTACTATTATTAAGGACTTTACTGATGTTAAATGTAGGTATAACTTACGTTATTAGTTAATGGATTGAATGAAGGCCATGTAGTATTGTTATCTATCCATGAATTCGGATTTTTCGTGTTATCTATGAAAATAAATATAATGATAGTAGAAACGTTTATTAAATTACGAATATATATGTAGCAATTTTTTTAGTGATATAATTATTCATTTACTCGTTTCTTCAAGATTACAGTAAAAACAACTTTAATTTATCCCATTTTATTGCTTTATTATGCTTGCAAAAAGTTATCACCTACATTGTTAATCTATCATAAAAATATTAAAATGTTATAACTACTTATAATAGCTAGGTAGTATCTTTGGATAGACGAGAAAAATAGTTTCATTGTAACTCAAGACCTTAGCGTAACTATACTGATCTAGTCGATTCCTCCTGGAGATCTTCTAGGGTTAATGCAGGTCTTGAGCTCAAGTAAAGAAGGAAGGTTAGGCACGCGGTTAGCAGCCCTGTTTAATAAAGAAGTGTTGCTAAAAACTAGCTATCCATATTGATTTAGTCAATGTTTCTTTTTTGAAAAAGTATTTGAAAGACACTGTGAACAGTAACAATAAGAATTATGCTAAATTAATCATTACAAAATCACTTCATTTAATTTCTAGTTGTGTTCTGTTTGTCACCTACTTTGAGATGAGTTCCGAAAGTTCAAGTGAATTGTGACTTGTTAAGTTCAGCTATCATGTTGAAACTAAACACAATTGCCAAAAGTGGTATTCGACGCTCATCGTGACACATTGTTAATTGACTGCAGTTTAATTACAGGATGCTAAAATCCAATAATTTAATTATTAAAAAAACTCTAGAGGTCTAACTTGACGGGTTCGATCTCTCAACAGATTATCTGTACATTGTTGTGGAACCACATATTTACACAAAATACCTACTCAATACTCCCCAGTTTTCAGCGTTACTCAAACTGGAGTCGGTGATAAATAATACTCAAAAATAAGTGAGTCTGTTTTTTACCTATTTTAGTAACAATTAAAGCCTAATATTAAATACTCTCACAGTAAACAGTCGGAAGAATCACCACAACTGTAGGATACAGTAGGCTTGGTGAACATGTCTAGTTTTCAGCTACATACTATATGAAAGCTAATGTCAGTGCATCGTTACTAGAAATAAAACAGCTGGATGATTTTCGTTCATACAATCCAATTATTGAAAACTGAATGAATTAGCTATGAAGTTAGTTGATTCGCTACAATGTGAATTATCTAAAAATCAAGGCTTATCTGGTTACAAATTTTTAACGTTACCTGATAAAATATATAGATAAGAAATTCTAAGATCTGTTTTGGAAAGTGTCTCGTATAAAGCTATCCATACTAACTTATCCTATTGACCACAGTTATTTATTATAGATATTCTGAACAAGTCGTAACGAATAAGCAATAAAAATAATGTAGTTTTCAAATGAATGATCAGGCATTGTCCAGTACAAATACCTGTTAACAATTAAAGTGAATAAAGAAAAGTGTAAGAGACCTAAACATTTCTCTTAGTATAGTAAAACTTTCAAACACTATGAATTAATAAGAAGGTTATGAAGAAAATTTTTGAAACAAACTGTAAAAATGCAATAGATAGACTACAAATAAATGAATTTCAATAGTTGAGATCATGAGTGAATTGAAGCTAGACCACCATGGAAAAACTGATAGTACTGGATGGCCGTTTCGTCCTATTGTGGGACTTCTCAGCAGTGCACATAAATGAATAAATGAATGTTAAGTAATAATTATATTCATACTATAAAGGAAGATAAGTAATGAAGACATTTATACCAGTGTGGATCTTCTTCAACTTATATTAACTTGAGATTTTATTTTATCCAGAAATGAAATTTGACTATTGAAGTTCTATCTATCTATCTATTTCCTTGTAACAACCCATGTTATATCTGTTGTGTCTTTAAGTCTGGTTAGTTATCATGTAATTAATTTGCCAATCAAAATACGACATATTCACTCTTGTCCAGTCTGACAGGCCTAGCATCCTATTGATCCGTTGCTCGCCTAGCCTGTTCAGCTGAGTCCAGAATACCAATAACAGCCTCCACTATGCGAATCATTTATTTCAGACATAATGGATTTATATATCAACCAAACAGACAGCAACGCATCATAAAAGAGGAAATAACATTTATACACAATAAAGCCAAAAAAATGGCTGTGAACATAGGAGACAGTAATCAATAAACTGAGTATAACTTAAGAATAGTAAATCGTACAATAATAATCTATATATCAAAATGAAGCTTATAATAAGATGAATATAAATATACACAATCTAATTACTCAATAGTTATACCATAAGAATATATAGATAATATTAGTCCATCAATAGGTCTCAGAAGTTACTCGTAATTTAATCTTCTCTAAGATATAACAATATCATCAAAGAATTTCTAAAGAAATACTTACTTTATAGATATTATTTCATTGATCAAAATGGTTACTTATGTAATAGTTAAACAATTTATTAAACGAAATGTATATTATCTTTTAATATACTGAAATTATTTATTTTGTAATATTTTAGAAAAACTAATTTCATCCATTATGAATCTTCCATTGAGAAAGTATACAACAAACCAATAATGATGAATAACTTCCGTTATATGACTACATTTAGAAGTCCATTATTTATTCAATATATTTTTTTTCTCACAATTAACTTCCGGAACATATTTAATCGATTCGATTAAGGCAATAAAAACAATAAAAAAATAAAATAAAATAAAACAATAACAAACTGAAAAAATGACGAAAAGAGTTTTTTTTTCTAAGGAGAAAAAAAAAACAAACAGTGGAACAATTAACTGCAATGCACGCAGAACTACACATACTTAGATATACTTACAAAGAGGGTATATATATATTACGTGAGTAAATATGCAATGATGATAGTAAGCTGCTTCTTGAAAATAATTGCCAATGAATTTTGTCAGGTTTTTGACTTTAATTAGGGTGGATGGGTATATATATATATATATATATATATATATATATATATATATAAAGAATAATGTATTTGTACGCTAACTAGGACAAACTGGCAATGAAAACATATATACAGTAAATGATATTGAGTACCATCATGTTATTTTGCAAAATAAACAAAAAAACAAATAATTTTTATGTCATTTAAAGATCTCCATCATATTAAAAGACTAATATTTTCACCCTATATTAGATGATATTTTTTTAGCCAAACTGGTCCACTAGAACTGATCGATATATGGATGACACGCTCAGCCTCTGTAAAGATAATATATCACAGCAAGAGGTTCTTAGGCAGTTTAATTAAATGCATCTAGCCATTGAGTTTATATCTGAAGAAGAGAATGATAGTAGAATAGACTCTTTGAACGTTCTCTGAACTAAGAGAGCAGATGGATCAATAAAAAAAGAATTTTAACAGAAAAAAAAATACATGGACTGAGCAGTATACGCATTTCTTTAGCTTTGTACCTCTACAGTATATACGAAACCTAATCAAAACTTTTAGTTACCAAATACGCACAGATATAGTTGAAGAAAAGTTAAACACCTTGTTACCCTAGAAAGTTTATAATTAAATATATGATCATGAAGGTGAGAAAATTGGGCGAAATACAAACGGTGAATAAAAAATTCCTATCCATGCGCTTACAATTCAGAGGGGATGCGTCTAGTAAAATATTAACTCAGAGATTACGCAGAAAAATACAAAAGTCTTTCAATGCCGGAGAACTACGATTAGTGTTTTCTACGCGCCCAATGATGACACCGAGTCTCAAAGATAAATTAACTAGAATGACCACCTGATTTTGTATTTAACAGTTCGACTGCTCCTGTGGAGCAAGTTATATTGGTCGAAGTTCTAGGAATTTACACTTTCGTGCTCGCGAACACCCAGCCTGGCTAGACAAAAGTCTGGTGAAGAAAGTGAACAGCTTGATATTGTCCGATTTAGTGCAAACTAGTCATAGTGCCAGTATAAACCAGTAATTTTTTTGTAAAAGCTTGTCAGACTTAAAGTCCTTCAAACGTCTGAAGTAGTAGCCATTCGGATGAAGAAACATGAGCTCTGGGTACAAAAAATATCCGAACAACCTCAAGTCCAATTAATCAATAGTATTCCCAGTTATTGAATGACCGAATTGGACTATTGTACTTAATACCTTTCACAGTCAAATGTAATTGTCTCCTGTCATCGTTATTCACAAATCTTTGTGTTATTATTATTGCTATTACTATTGGTTAAACATTATTATTCTCCTCAATGCATTTACATCGCACTCATCCCACTTTATTATGTTTTACTAATATTTCTTTACTAGTTGAAATCATGAGTTAATTGAAGCTAGACCACCATGAAAAACCTGGAAGAACTGGACAGTCGTTTCGTCCTAGTATGGGACTACTCAGCAGTGCGCATCCACGATCCCGCCCCCCGCGAGGTTCATGACTCATGATTTCAACTAGCGAAATTTCTAAAATCTTCACAAAACCCCTTCTAGTGATATTTTTTTACACAATATTGTCTTCCATTAAACATTGATCGAATTGTAATTGCACGATTATTTCTCACACCCTATGTAACCCATATTTATTCTGATCATGGATCTTAAATTTTCACTTAACATATAGACTGTTTCAAACTAACGCACTATATGAGTCATATCAACATTAACAATTTTATTCTAGTTTGTTTGACAATGCTAAATTCACTTGCTTTAATTAAGATCAGGAACCGATCGATGTTAGACCATCACTGAAAACCTGGAAGCACTGGACGGCCGTTTCGTCTCATTATGGGACTCCTCATCAGTGCGCTTTAACGATGCATTTTACCCTTAATCTGGCCATTATTTTGATTATTAATTTGGATATATGAATTGTAGGAACTGAAGAGAATTTGTCGAAAAGGATATTTTTCGTTCAAATACTAGTCTATATATGTTACCAATATGTACTGAAGAGGACCATTTTAAGCTTGATCAGAAATGAAATAAATTTTTGATAGAGAATTTGTCCACTTAGGTATCATGGTAACTTGATTCTCTGAAATATTCTATTAGTTAAAAAAAATTAACAATTTTATTATTCATTGTAAACAGTATAATCTGATTAAATCCATTTGGTTGTAAGCCATACCATTAAGTCTGTGAATAAAACATTAGATGTATCCCTCCAACATTCTATGAAATAATAAAATTCCATTGAAACTAAAAGTTAATTAATGTAGTTTAGAATTATTAGCTAATTTTGTCTAGTTTTAACTGAATCTATTTGACTATGATACTTTTAAGATTAAATCAATGAACTTAATCAAATATAATTGAGGACTAAAATCTCCCCTCCATTTATCAATCGATAAAAATTAAAGAAAAAAGACGACTTCATTCTATTGAATGTCCATTCTGGGCTAAGTGATTAATTTCACTTTTTAAACAACATGGGTCACTGAAAATTTTCGAGCAATACGTGAATTAATCTCCTTTAACAAAATAAAAAATGAGATCACGAGAATTATGTTGCTATTAACAGTGACATGTAGATTACTACTTCAATATTTTAATGAACAAAAAGATAAAATATATACTGATAGAAAGATCTTAATGAATTACTGAAAACTACAGTCTATTGATGAATTATTTGGTACTTAATTAGGCTTATTCATATATGCGTATTATCAGCCTTGAATGAGACTGTTTTTTGGGAAAATTAGGTGCGATATCTGTTAGTAGTTAAGAAATAGAATTCGATCAGCACTAGAAAAGACCTGACATACATGATATCGGTCACTAATAAGTGATCATTCAGTTTTCCAATAGGAGGTCCGTTGCCAATCGGATAGCTAAGTGGTAACATTTCAAAGTGTGTAATTGGATGACATAGGATTAAACTCATTGAAGAGCAACATGTTCTTGAAGATTACAAGTATACATTACTGGCAAGCATGCAATAACACGAAATTGAATCCCAGGGTTTGTAGCTCACTATCATCAACCACTGGGCATCTCGTAGTAATCCACACGATATTAAATCATCGAAATTTGATTGATGTAGTTTGACCAGTAGTAACAAGCTAAATGAACATATCATCTATCACTGCTCTGTGATTCATCGTTTTTAGCTGACAGATCAAATTTACCGGTTTCAAAGAGAAGATATGACAAATTGTTTGTACCTTCTGCAAAGATAAAGTTTGTTTTTATAGTCAAATTTAGATGCATTTCAAAAATCTAAATTATTTGAGTCAAAATAAACAATCTTATTGATTCATAAACAGGAGGAAAATGTTTATGTTTATATTTTTGCTTCAAAATCGAACTAGTTACATTGATGTATTTCAATAAATTGACTTAATTTTTCTGTTTTTGTAAATATTTACTTTAATCTAACAATTCTATTCATTTTTTTAAATATATGATTACGATATTGTCCAGAAACACAACAAGAACTTCACAATTAAACCGTCCAGCTCAGAAAACAAATACATATTGTCAAAATCTTCATCCTCAGCTAAAAATATTCTATATTATCTCACGATTGTTTGAGTCAAGAAAAATCAATATTTCTACACATTTGAAGGTCATAATCTGTAAGAAAGTTTAAGCAGAATTCATTTTCAAACGGCTGTTAACATCAAAACGAAATACTCAGCTACATGTACCTGCATGCCACAGTTGATGTTTATTCCAGGACTCGGACCCAGTATTGTTCGCTTCAAACGCCATCGTGTTATCCACTTAGCTACCGAGTCCTGATAGCCACATGCTTGTACAATGGGGTGAAGTTTAAATTCACTTAATATTGTTTACTTGAATCTTCCCATTGATGTTTAGGACTACAATTGATCAGTCTCTTATTAACAAATGTACATCTACCTGATGAGTTCTAAATAGGACGAAATGTACGTCCTAGACTCCACTGCTATCCACTATCCATATCTGCTTATAATGTTTATGAGTTGAGGCAATATCGAGATAATACACACATTATGCACATATGCCGATAAGTGACTGATCCATTGAAATCCTAAACATCAATCGGAAAATTCAAGTAAACAATACCATGTGAACTTAATTTTATACATTAGCTAAAAACTGTGTAAATCAATTTATTTCACTTTATTACATTGATTATTATTGATTATCAAAATACTCGGTAGAACTTAAAGTAAAAATAAATTATAATAATTTTCTATTTATCTTTGAAAGGAATCCAATTAACTTAATAATGTATTATAGATAGTATTTCTTATTCACATTTTACTGAAACCATAATGATCTCCATATTCTTCATTGACTGGAAACATTTATAGCTTATTCATCACAGGAAAATCACTTTTTATAGATAAACTGTAAAATTGTTAGTACTGTAGAAAAGAGATTATCAGCTTAATTACATTGATTTTCTTTACAAATACAATAATAGGATGAAACGGCTGTTCAAAGCTTTCAGGTTATCTGTAGTAGTCTAGCTTCAATTGAATCATAATCTGTTATGTCCCGATAAGCATAATGAATGGTAACATTTGGGATCCATTATTGGACCAATACTATGCGTATATTTTTGTCGTATAATTGTTAATTAACTAAGCTATTCATATTCGTGTCCCTAATATCATGAGCTTTAGTTTGATCTATGGACTATTATTATACGGTTTACCATTCTTGAATTATGCCCTGTCTATTAATCATTACTTCCCTCATTCACAATCACATTTGCTAAATCTTGTACAAATGTTGTTTCGTATTTTATAGTACGATATGGTCTGTTTGATTGGTATATAAACCCCGTATGTTTTTAATAAATGATTCATATCGAAGAGGCTGAGATTGGTGTTCTGGACTTAACTAGCTTGGCTAGGCGGAAAGCACGACCGATAAGTACTCTAGACTGCTCGTACGAATTTTATGCGTCACTGGTTCGGTTGATAATTTACTGCTTTCTTATTGGCGGTGTCGTTACGTTATATATTAACAGGGCACACAGGCCACAAGTTAAAACATAATCTTAACTATTAAAATAATAAATAATAATATAAATTATATTTACCTTTATAAGTTTTATAATTCCATTCATCATCACTTAATCCAAGCCAGTTATTAATTGTTTCACTAGGCATTTTATTATATTGTTGTTTATTAACGTCATCAACTGATTGATTTGGTATATGTCTCAATGATTTTTGATAATTATTACAATAAATATCTACAGGATTTTGTATTTTATCTTCATTCATTATTGATTGATTTGTTTGATAAATTGATGATGGTAACGATGATATTAATTGATTATTAAAAGGTATACTACTACTAGTAGTAGTATTGATATTGTTATTATTAATAACAGTATTATTTATTGAAGTTGACGGATTAATCAAATCACATTTGTTTTGTTCATTTAATAATTTGCGTACTTGTTCAATCAGTATATCGATTGATTCAGGATTTATAGTGTCTACACAAGAATTCCCATCAGGTAATGAAGTATTCATTCTTGGAATGTTATTATTACTGTTAATATCATTAATAATATGACTGTTTGGTAAATAAGTAGAATTTATAGATGAAACATTATTCATAAGATCAGTATTATTGTTATTTGAAATGAAATTTCCGGTACTTGGATAATTATTTATTTGATCTGATGCGATTGTATTTTGTAGTAGACTATTGATAATATGTTCATTAGTCGGTTGACATGTAATTACATTATTAATATTATCAGTAGTAGTATTATTATCTAACATCCCAGAACCAGCTACAGCTGTGGCTGCAATTGCTCCAGCAACAGCTGCTAAGGTTACTTGATTCAAATCAGCTGGCGCGAGATCTAGGCACATTGAATTTATTTGATTAATAAGTTCTGGATTATATGTAAGAGCTTGTATAAAATCAGGATTATTAATAAGCTCGATTAATGTGTTATTTGAAACTGGTATTTGTTCATTTAAACTGACTGGTGTAGGCTGATTTATGATTGTATTATTCATTATATTGTCAACTAAATTATTTGTTAAAGGTACCTGATTTGGCAATACTACTGGAGCGGTAGAATTCAAATTTGATGTACTTAACATATTTGGTACTGACAAAAACTGTTGGTCAGTTGTAGATGTATAGTTTGTAGGTTCTATCATTGTTTCATCTATTTTACCTTGTTCAATACTTAACGGGAGTCTTGTTGAAGCTGTAGAAAATATTGGTGGCGCTAAAGTAGATGAAATAAGAGTTGTTGGTCGCATTTCCGATTCATCACAGTATGAGTTTAAATATCCTTGAAGATCAAAATTTGAAAAACTAGATGGCCAACTAGATTCATAAGGTTCATCAGTCATTAAACTTTTAAGTAAACGACGATGATGTTGTTCTACTTGTTGTCTTAGTTGTCGGGTTGTAAAGTCATTTGAATCAGTTCGACGATCAAGTGAACCAAATTTGTTACTATCCAATTTTTGTAATTCATATGAATCCGATATATTTTCACGATAGTCTAAATTAAATTCTGAATGTGCAGCAGCTAATCGAGCTCTTAACGTTTGCATAGAAGTAGAACCTGAAAACTTGTTTAAATCATCTAAATGACTTAAATGACCAGTTGATTTGGATAGATTTCCAATTCTTCGAGTTAAATGATCAGATTTATTCCATTCATCAGACGGAACTTTTTGATGAAGTGAAAATTCTATACTAGATGGATCATAACGTTGATTAGTCAATGAAGGTCTTGAATGTTTTATTCCCTTTCTACCATAATCATTTAAAGGTAAAGAAAAATATGAACCGACTTCTAAAAAATTATTATCATTTGACCATTTTGTTTGTGGAGTATGAAATGATTTATAAGTTGGTGTATAACTTCTTAAATGACCTCTTTTTATTCTATGATTTATTTCATAATCTTGATAATTTTTATTCAATCGGGTTGAATACACTGAATCTTTTGGTTTATCAAATTCTGTTGATTTTATATTTCTATTAGAATCTTTTAAAATTCTTTGTTGTAAAACATTTTCAAAATCATTTGATTTTAAGTGTTTTGAACGATTTGAAGAATGATGAGTTAATCCTAACTTATTTCGACGATCATGACGAATAATTGATGCTAGACCAGTTTTATCTTTTTGATAAGGATGATGTTGATGATGATAATGATGATGTTGTTGTTGATGATAATGAGGATGTGATGTACCAGCCTCTGAATATGATCTATATGGTCGTGAATCATATGAAGATTTCAAATTACTTTTTGAAGTTGGTTTAAAATTTATTCGATAATTGTCATCATCATTAAATGATTTAATAAATCTATCCGGATATACATCATGTAATGATCTATGATTATAAGAATGTTTTGAATAAATAATTGATGATGATGAATTAGGACTTTCATAAGTTCCAGGAAAATCATCTACTAAACTATTTACTTCATAACTATAAGCAGAAGAATGTGGTCTTCTTCTTTGATTTGTAAAATATGAACCACGTGAACTAGACGAAGATGACATATATTCCGTATGAATATTATTGTAATCTATTGTTTGTTCTGGTATTGATGTTAATTTAGCTTCTTCAGTAATACGTTTTAATATATGTATATACCATGGTGAATGTAATGATTCCCATAAATGTTTATTAGCATAAAATTCTTTAAAATTAGATATTAATGATAAATTTGATTGATTTATAGAATTTTCATTAATAATTGAATTTGTTATAGGTACATGAATTGAAAAATCACTACATTCTGATAAAGTATCATAATTATCCTCTAATAATTGATTACTTAATGATTGTGGACAAGATAATGAAAGAAAATAATTTTTTATTGATGATTTACATAAATTTGATCTATTATAATGTTTATTATTATTATTATTATTGTCTTCAGTTAAAGCTAATAATGTATCAGTTGGATCAGGTTCATTAGTAATTGGTGAATTAGATAAAATGAATTGTGCACGTTTTAATAATTTTTCATTAAAACAACAAAATGGTTTTGTTATTGATAATGAATTATTAATAGTTTGTTGTTTTATTCCAATACAAATTGGTGTAACTATATTATAAATAGTATCTGTATTAGTAGTACTAGTATTAGTAGTATTAGTAGTAGTGAATAAATTTTGAGTAGTATCAGAAAATGTTGTTAAATTATTATTATTATTATATGATTTTTCTATTGATTTATTTGATATTGATAATTTATCAATATCATATTGTTCACTGATTGTTTTATTCTTATCATTTTGTAATTCAATATTAAATTGATTCAATGTATATAATGAATTGTTAGAATATGATTGATCAATAGAATATTTTAAAGAATCATAGTTATTATCTAAAAAATTGGTTAGAAAATTTTTATTTAACTTTCTATTAGATTTTTTCATCTCTTCTTTATGATTATTGGTTAATTCTAAATGACTATCTTCTTTTTCATTGAGTAGTTGTTGTTGTTGTTTGTATTGATAATAAGGATAGAGAGTTTCATTAATATTGCTATTCTTCTCATCTATATTATTTGGACTTTTAATATAGGCAGTATAATTATTATCCAATGATATAGGAGAATTTATTGTTGGTATCACGTGTTCATAGAATTCTAATATGTCTGAATGGTTCAAGTCTTCTTTTGTATTGTTAAATTTCTCTTCTCTTTGTTTAGTATTGTCTATTAGTTTATCAATAGGGTATGATGGATATGAAAATTGATTTCTTTCATATTTCAATTTCATATTTTCATAAGAGATCATCATAGAATTATTTTCATTTGATTTATAAGTAGTATGAGTTGGAGTATCTGAAAATATTAAATGGTCGATATTTTCATCAGTTATAACATTATTTTTATATAATTTTTTATAAGGTTCAGAAATAACATTTTCTTCAGTAATGATTTGAGTTTCCAATTGAGTGGAGATCCTATCAAGATCATGCAATTCTGTATCATCTTCTATATGTGTTGTATACAGTTTTGCAGTGAAATGATTTGATGAACTACTATCGTGTTTTTCATTATCTTCATTTATCTGTATAATATAAAACAATAATGTAAGATATAATATTGTACAAATGTCAATAAAAACAGTTTATAATTTTGAATTAGTTTAACAGCTCTCATGAAGAACTGGTAAAATAACTTACTTGTTTTCCTCATCAGATATAAATAGATTAAAGGACTTTATTCTACTATATTTATCTTGTGAAATAAAAAATCATTAATATGGAATAATCTAATGCCATTGTACTATAATGTATCTACAATTATTCTCTTTAGAACTTGTTTATCTAGTTCATTCAAAGTAGTAAGAGATTGAAAACTTTCCAAAAAAGAAGAAGAATGAAATTACCGTAATGGTTAGAATAAGACATATTATTTATTAATAAAGTTATGCAGTGCTATGTTAAAGTATAGAAAAACGTATAGACATTTTCATTCTAGTAGTTGAACGCTAAGAATAAATAACTGGTGGGATCAAGTGATTTCAATAGAAACAAGCGTTTACGAGGTTTAGATATACGCTATTTACATATATTCAGTGGTTGGGAGCAATCGATATGAAACAACACACATAGGTTTCGTTCTAGTTGGTACTCTTCAGTAAAGCGTACTTGTATTATTAAGGAGATTGATGTGTCCCTTGCTGACTAGTACCGCCGAGCATGAAATCTAAGCCTAGGGTCTTTTTACCGGCTACATCTAATTAAATAATACCTTAGTAGAGTACACACTAACTCAAGTCATTTAGATTAGTGTACATGTTGGAAGTCGATCAGAAAAATTTGGTCAGCACAATAGTGATAATTGAGAAACTTTGTATTCAATCTACACCATGTTTAATAGTAAGAAACGTGAACAAAACATTTTAGATAGTTCAAACATATATTTTCCAACAATTGCCATTCATTTTCAAAGTATACTCCGTTGGGAAACTCATACTGTATCTGACTTTTTTATCATCACTACTCAATTCCTTGGCCATTGAAATTATTATTGAACTAAGGTGGAAAAATGCTTTTTTCTAATGCAAAAACAAAATTATTCACCAGTTATCGAATAATACTAACAAATCAGTTACCATTTACATGATCTTGATCAATTTACCACTTGGGTTTAAAAAGAATTTTAAACAAAAATGAGAGAAAGTTATGAGCAATGAAAAGTAAATTTTCACATTTAAACTAAATTAAAACAAGTATTCAGTCAGTCAGTCAGTCAGTCAGTAACAACATGAAACTTCGTACGTACGTACATCAGTTCGAGTTGCCATACCACACTAGCACAGAGATTCAGTTATCGATTCAAATCCCGTAGTGGTAGAGGTAGTATAAGTATTGATAGGGAATATTAGGGTGATGTATTGAGATAAATTAAATTTTCTAGTGAATATGACTATCATGAACTAAAGGATATGTTTTAGTGGCATCTTATCTGAGTACAATTAGATCGTACGATATTGTCGTCGGGTTCATCACTTTTGTGGCCCGATATCTGACTCCTCTTAGATTGTACGAATGATCGTTATTGAAATATTTTTTGCCAAAATATACACCCTGACTATTCTCGTATATTATCATTGACTTAATCAGGACTAGTGAATAACGGAATTGAATAAGTCAAATACGTGAATGTATGAATACGTATATTTTGTACACTCAATAATCTGAACAGGCAAACAGAGGAACGAAGTGAAGGAAGTGAAGAGAAAAGAGCAGAGAGAAATGACGCGCGGTGGAAAAGACGTGTGAGCCAACTCCATTGAATCAAGCGTTAATCAATATTTGTAGCCAGATAAAAATAAGTTACAGACATGTGATGAATAGGATAAGAAGTGTACACACACATACACTCATATAAAAACAGTTAGGGTTGATAAGTGAATAATTAACAAGGTTAAAATGCAACTCAAGAAGAATGGATAAATTAGCCTGTTCAGAAGGTAAAATAAGTCATATGGGTTTAACATAGTAACCAACACTACAATGTCACAGACCATTCTGAATATGGAAATCAATGATATTTTGAGCTCCACCACATGGTCTGTTTTAAATAAATTTACTGATATAAGAGGAGAATTCAGATATGTTGATTCCAATGGACAGTGAAATCATGTTCCATCATTTTCAATTATTTTAACTCGTATAAATGTTTAACTTGCTCAACCCTTTATCCATTGTCTAAGATAGATAACTGTCTCATACTCGATACAGTTTGAACTACAGTGGTTACGGTTTTCTCACTAAAACTGCAAGATACCGGCTCAATAGTCTATAGGTTAAGCGTTCACGAATGAGACCGAAGGTCCTTGGTTCAAATCTCACGTGTGAGATCGTCGATGCGCACTGCTCAGGACTTTCATACTAGAACAAAATAGCTGTCCAGTGCTCCCAGATATTCAATGATCATTTAGCTTAGATCAATTTATGAATTCAACTTTCATAATAAATTATAAGATAAAAGTTTATTTATGACTGAACAAAATAGTAGACAAATTAATACATTCAAACTGTGATGGCCCCAAATGCCCTGGTATGGCCGAGAGTGGGGTGGGACCGCCCTCCCTCCCTCTCGAAATGCTCTCACACGGTCACGCGTATACAGCCTCTGCCATGGAAGTCCCATTCACTGCCTTCTCGTGGCATTACTGTTGTTTACGAAAATGAGAGGACGAAAAGCAAATGTCCAGCGCTTTAACCGGATCCCAAATCAATGGTGCACATGGGCTCCAGTATCCTGCCTGAGGGAACAAATGGCGTATGAACCAATCGTTGGTCACCAATTACCATGGGACTGCATCTCCTTACGATGTTCCACTGCCTTGTGGATCAGACGTTCAGGTCGAATGCTCGGGGTGTGACCCTCTAAGAAAACCACCTGTTTCGGTCTGAGCCCAAACACAAATAAAATGAAAATTTTTGTGGCGCATATATATTTGGTACCCTCTTTTATCAATATTTATGTGTTCATATAAATCAATAAAATAAATTCAAACTGTGACAAAATTAAAAAAGAAAGAATATGTATTTGTAAAATCTCAGTGAAAGAATTTAAAGTAAATCCAACGTTTAGCCTAGTAATCTGGTTCAAGTTGTGTTTTTTTTTCAAGGGAAATATAATCAAACATTAAATTCATTCGCTGAGATTTTTCAAATACATTTTTCCTCTTTAATATTTCACATTAACTTGGCGCCCAAATACTGTGAGATGATTCGATCAAATTTAAACGAAAATTCATATTTATGTAAAGAAAATGTTTGAGAAAACAAAAATCGTCTATTTTTTTTATATTTCTTATTTTAAAGTGAATAAAATGTTTGTTTGGCATGCAAGATTTGCTTTTTTTTCTTTTTTTCTTTTTTTCTTTCTTCTTTTTTACGTTTCTTTCAAAATGTCTCTTTTCGTTTTCGTTTTTCATATATTTACTTATTTATGTATTGCAATTATCTTTTTAAGGTTAACAATTTTATATAATGATTTGTAAATAATAAACAGATTTTTTTGACAAATTGACCTGCTACTTAGTTGAATAATATTAAGTAGAAAAAAATTTTTTTTGATAGGTAAGTATTAGTATCAGAAGGGGTTTTGTGGAGATTGAAGCTAGACCATCATGAAAAACATGTAAGCACTGGACGGCCGTGTCGTCCTAGTATGGGACTCCTCAGCAGTGAGGATTCACGATCCTGTCCCCCGAACGGGATTTAAACCCAGGGCCTATCATTTGCTCACTAGTGACTGACTTCAACAGACATTTCCTGGAGTTCTAGTGAGAAGCCGTTACCAGTGAAGTTCAAACAGGTCTGTTGTGCAATATCAGTTCATGGAAGACAATAGTGGACGGTGGTGCAGTTTTCTGGATTAGTTGAAGTTAGATATTAACACCGTTTGATGCCGGCCAGCTCAGTGGTCTAATGGTTAAACGTTCGTGCGCGGGACTGATAGGTCCTGGGCTCGAATCCCGTTTCGGGGCAGGATGGTGGATGCACACTTCTGATTGGTCCCTCAATAGGACGAAACGGCCATCCAGTTCTTCCAGTTTTTCCATGGTAGTCTAGCTTCAATCGACTCATGATTTCAACTATTGAAATAAGTATTATATTGAATTTTTTTAGATTAGATTCTATTGAACATAAGTTTCAACATAGTTTATTATAACACTATTGGATTAGAATACTATTCAATATAAATTTCTGAAATTTTCATCAATGAATCAGAAAAAAGGCCCTTGAACTTGGTCTTACGATATATTATAAAATCGAATGTTACAGATGAGTGAAAGGAAGAAAATGATAGTATGCAATAATCCAGACAAAGCACATACGGTCTCAAGGCTACATGTTATGTCAAAGATATAAGTATGAACTGCGTGCAGAAAACCTGGTAGAAGTGCTTCTTTCCAATTTACCTACTTGCTTGATATCTCAGGGACATTTAAATGAATATATCACTAGCAACCTAGATCTGAAAGGTAGTAAAGTATTCACAAGTGCTATTGACAGACGTCTTTTGGATAGTGAACGTTAAGTGAATGTAAATAGCGCATTCAAAACAATTAACAGACAAAGAATACAATCCTACTCTGTTTTTTTAAAGACAATCACTATCAAATGTTTCTGATTTGATCTATGTATACAGAGGAAAAGTGCAATTAACTTTTTTTTCTATGATAATTAGATGTTCATCTTATAACTTTTATTAACTTTAATTTTCAATCTTTATATTTCAACCTTGTCCTCAACCTTTTCTCTTTGTTTTGATTTTGTCTGCTGATATTCATCCTTTGCACATTCTTTTTGATATTCAGTTATTTATTTTATCATGTTGAGGGGTTTCCAAATCACATAGGAATTTCATTATGCTTACATAACCTCTTTTATCCAAATTAGGATTACTGGTAACAACAACACTTGTTCCATTCAGCGTTACCGCTTTGCAACAACATAAAAAAACTTAAAGCAATTAGTGCCTTTTAATAATCGAATAAGAAGACAACAATTATCAGAACTATGTGTTATTTTGGCGCAATAC